TGAAGTCTTTTGCTGTCTTTGAAAGGCAGTACATGGTTCGTTATTGTTCAGTGGAGTACATGGTTTGTCCTTTTTCAAAAACTTTATCACTGTCATCATTGATCATGACTAGAGGTTTAACGATGCACAAATTTTTAGGTTCAATAAAATTTCTCAGTTTGCAATGTTTTATGTGTTAAAAGTGGCTTTACACCACCCAACACTTATAAATGATCTATAAAAAGTCTATTCATTTGAGCATGTTTGCATGGATAACATAAGCTCCTCCCCATCCCTGCCCGGTTTACTCTGATAGGATGCCCCAAAAGCCTAGTTTTGATCCTCATCTTGTCTTTTTGCATTTCCATGGAACATAATAAATGACAGACCCTCAGAACTGACAGAGGGGTGTAATGACATGTTCACACTTGACAGGATTGGTTTGATTAAAACGAGCTGTAGTGCGATTGCTGTGTTAGTAATGTTTGTTAGAAGAACGCTGGTGTGCACCAAGAAAGTGGGCCAAGACCCCCTGAGGTGGTCGCTCTTGGTCCGCTTCCACACAGGCTCTGATGCAGTTCTTTTGAAATATGAAAGCAAGGTGGCGGAAAGAGCTTCCGCTGGCTGCCCAAACAGACTCCGTTGACATCTTGAAACACTGACTGAACACCCATCTGTTTGTAAAGCATTTAAATGAACACTGATCCAGCGCTCATTGACATGACTTCTATTGCACTTATGCTGTGTTTATAGGCATCAGCACTGAGTCTCATTTCTGGCAGTGTCTTAGCTTAATGGTAGATTGGGCTAGCTAATTTGTGCTAGCCAGGATACATTCTTTGAGAGGACTGCTAAGCACTTTTGTAAGCCCCTCTGGATAAGAGTGTCTGCTAATTGCTGTAAATGTAAAAAAAAATCTGCTGGGTACTGGACCAAGGAAACCAATCTATGAACACTTAAATTTTGATTCACTGTTTCAAATTCAATTCTTCAATATGCATTAAAACTGTTACACCATTGCTGTATTGATATATCTACATCCTTTTTATTAACAGCCCTAATGGAGATTAGGGTTTGATCAAAGGAAGCTGGTACTAAATCAGCTTCTGGTACAGAACTCAAGAGTTTTTTGAATAAAGCACATTCATTCCATTTGATTTGAAAGGGCTGTGTGAATCAGGCAGGTTCTGTGTCTGAGCTGCGAGTATGGGGGTTATTTTTAGTGGCTGAAGTGTACGATGTGTGGGCTGTTTGTGGTCCTGATCAATGCGCTTTAGATTTTCAGTCCTTTAGACGGTGGGGGTAGTGTGATGGACAGGCTGTGGGCCAGCTGAGCCTGGGCAGAGGGGGGGGTCAGGGGAGAAGCAATGGTTTACAGACTAGTTAGAGAGAATGAGGCCGATGTAGATGTGGGTGTGTGTGTGAAGCAGGATGGATCTGGCCTAGTGTCGAGGGATTTTGTGTGCTTGTGCGTGTGCAGATTGATTATTCATGGCTGCCTCGTTTCCTGTCACAATGGGTCAATTTGAGCATCTCTCAAGCTACTCTAATAATCAATTTCAGCACAGAATCCAGAGGGTTAATGGCTATTTGTAAAACAAGAATTAAAACTGAGCTCCACTGTGTATCCAGTGTTTTTAGGTGATGTACACACTAACATGCAGTGTCCTTGATAGCACAAAGGCTGCTGTTCTGCCTTGTGTGTACGGTTTGGTTATTTCTCAGCGGCGTCCTATGGGCCTCCACGCCCCTCCATTTAAAGCCTCATAAAGCAAAGCCGCTGTCAGCGCAATATCCACACATTACCGATCCCACTCATACAAACAATAGATGAATCTCAGTCTAATGGCATTCTCTTTAATGATGCTAGTACATCAGATAATATGTACTAACCTTAATAGCCTCCTTCACTGACCACTTTATCATGTCAAGGTGTCTTTAGAAGCTTCTTTAAATGACCTTTGAGGAATGTATTGTAATGGAGATGCAGTGCTGCTTTAAGGAATGCCGGTAGCTCTTTACATGCAGGCGAACCTGGGGCACAAACTGCTACAGTCAGCAGCGCTGGGGGGGAGGGGCAGGAGGTGTGCGCGTTTGAGTGTGTTGGATGACAGGGTTCTTTGTGCAGATGCTTTTTAATGGAGTTTTATGGCTGATTTGTGAAATGCCCTTTATCATGGTTTTATGAGGGACTGATCTAAATTGTTTCATTGTTTTGAAGTCAGGGGCATAAAAAGGCGTTTGAAGGTTCCTATTGAACTGATTTTTATTTTAGATGGCTAGATAGAACTTTATTGATCCTAAAGGGAAATTGCATTATTTTATTTGTGTAATCGATTATAACAATATTTGGTAAAGCATGGGCTCATTTTTAGGTCAAAATTAAATTCAGTTTCCAAATGAAAAATCTAAAATTAAATCTTGTTTTTAATGTGTATGTACCCACCGTGTAAATAGTTTCTTCAGTCACTCTGATGTATTCAGCATTTTTTGTTTTAAATTATAATACATTTTTGAATATCTCATGTTATTTTCAAACAATATTAAAAACATAAACTATTTAGGGATGCAAAACCAAAGAATTTAGGGATGCAGAAAAAAAACATCATTAGTCAGCTAATACTTGTTTACCAATAAGGCTAAAATTAAGGATGCAACCCATCAAAATATCAAGTATAACACATCGTTTCAGTTCTGATCTATTTGGCTGAGCCGTGTTCGAAGCTATTATAAAAAAATTGATATATGTACACTTATGAGCACACACATCTTGTTGTGTTGTTTTAATGCCTTATACTGTAATATGTTCTTGAATACATGACAAAAAAGAAAAAAAAACATCAGAATGACTGAAATATACAGTGATAACCTACTGTAAGTTCTGTATTGGAAAATTCTAAAGTTATAATTACCTCTCATTACTGGCCCAAGTTAAAAGGAATGCCTTCAGTAGGACTAGCTTTAGCTCGGTGTGCGTCAGGAGCTTTTGAAAGTCATCGTCATCCTCCCCCTCCTTCACTATAATTTCTCACGCTCATGTGTGATTTTCTTACACTGGCATGCAATACACGTTCTATTGGAGAGCATGGGATAAATAGGTGTCTGTCTTCAGGATGTTTGCGTTCAGTGTGGTCCATTGTTATATTTGTGCTGTCACCCTCTCTGAAAATCTTTAGCTGCAGGCTTCATTTTTTGTAGTTCTATCTAGTGGAACCAATTGCCTATCGCACCCTCATGCATATAATTTAAAACAAATCTCAATTTGAATAATAAACTTGCTTATATAAATTGGAACTGTTATTTATTTATTTGGAAAGGAAATGATTTATTTATTTATTTATTTTTTACTGATAGCATTGATCGAATATTCAGTACTACAGAGTATCAGAAATGTCCATGTCATTAAACAGCACTTTTTTAGCACCCAAGTAGTCAGTAGTCAAGTAGACAACATTCCAAAATCTAGATATAGATTCTATATTCTGCATGCATCTTATGAATATTAGCACCTTTTGATTAGTCTGAAATCTGTTTGAGTCTGTAAATACAGACACTTCCAGCGCCTCACTCTCATTCCTTGTTTAAGCCACATCCACTCTCAGTTTGTAATTTTAAAAAAGTATCCAAAAAAGCATCATTACGGAATCTGCTGTCACCGTTGATGGATTTTGAACGATACCCAGCCCTACACATAAATGTGCTTTTTATGTAAAACAGGATTAAGATGAACAGTAAGAATGAGACCTGCTAGCGGCTGGAAACAGATTTTTGTGTGTGGAGCGTGCGCCCTTTGCTCAGCTGCAGTCGACAGATCTCTGCAGTTCTCCATGGGGGGCCGGGTGCTCAGTTTGAAGCAGAGGGGGCTGGAGCTGTTCCTAAATCCGCTCTGCCTAGCCTCATCACCCAAAGAAGCTTATATCCCTCACCAGGGGTCTCTTGTGCTTTGCCACCCAAACCAGTGAAAAAATGCTTCATTACTCACAAAACTCAAACAGATACATGTGGAAGGTTACCTGTGGAAATACTGCAGAGAAAGTCTTTCTCATTATCATTTGTCTTGCTCATGTAAGGTGATTTCATTTAAAAGGTTGAAGAGAGATAATCTGTGTGATACTGAAGGCTCAGCCTAAGTTGTGAGTAACATAAGATCTAAATTTACTCTAATAGAAATTTCAACCTATTGAGTAAATGAAGTGACCCATTAATTAGCTTAGGGTCTTAGTGAGTTTTTTTTTTTTTAGGATGATTCTTATTTTGCATTGCTTGGTTTGAAACATTTATTTCTGAAAACATTGGAAAATCCTTTAGTACAGTTCTTAGTACTAATGAGTGCAAGTAGTTTCTGTTTTTTCAACTTTTTTTGGAAACCTCAGCTGTCCTGTACATTGTGTCAGTGTCTCTCAACAAATGGATCAACAGAAATGCTTCAAAAATTTTTTAACGGGCTCATTTCCTACATTTGTCTTAAATTTTATTTTCGCATGAGGTCCACTCATGATGTCTGTGTGGGTTTATGTACCGTAAAATAGTTGATACATTTTTACATGACCATTTTCTAGCATCTTCTTGACCTTTTAGAACAAAAAAGGCTATTTTTTGTTATGCTTTAAAGACTGATATATGTAAATTGCTTCTGTTCTGATTGGCTGCCCTTAGTCACGCCTCATTCAAAAAACAGGCAAGCTGAAACATGCCTTATAAGTTAAGCGTTAACAGGCATAGCTAAACTGCTAAAGATTAAATAGGCAAATATATATAAATACATGTTTTTTGTGACATCACAAAAGTGATGAATTCATACTGGTTTATTTTCGAAGCTTAATTTCCACATTTGAACCATATAGACTGGGGAATAAACAGTACATTTTAAAACTTTAAGAACTTTTAAGAAATCAAACTCTTTTATGGGCCCTTTATATTATTTTAAGATGCATTAACAATGAAGTTAAGAACCCTTTTTTCTTCTCTTATAAAGCAGTGATGATATGTATCATCAGTGTATGTGTATGTCTCTATGGCAGGATCCGGCCTCAGATGGCGAAGGAGAAAATCGAGGGCTGCCACATCTGCACCTCAGTGACCCCAGGAGAGCCCCAAGTGTTGCTGGGCAAAGACAAGGCCTTCACTTATGACTTCGTGTTCGACATAGATGTCCAGCAGCAGCAGATCTATGGTGCCTGCGTCCACAAGCTCATCGAGGGCTGTTTCGAAGGATACAATGCTACAGTCTTTGCCTATGGCCAGGTGGGGTCAACACACGCATGTAACAGCTGCTCCTAGCACAAATCATATCCAAATGAGCCACATAAGGTTGTTTATGAAGTCACGTACCAGCACCCACACCACAAAGCCCACCAGCCTCAGCTATTTAAATCCACACAGAGAAAATACATTTGGATGGAACGCATTTGCAAATCTCATCTGGAATATCTTACGCTATGCACTGAAAGTGCCCTTTGTAGCACATAACGTTTGCTGAACACTTACTACAAGCTTTCTCACTACAGTAGACCCGTATTTCCCCTGCGATTAATTCTATGAATGAAGCAGAAGCGAAAGTTGCGTTGACCCCATGACCGATCTCATTAAAAGGCAGATATGAGGTGACAGCTGTGCTGAATGTCTTTGTGTGTTAGACTACAGGCCTCTCATGCGACCACAGGCCTGTCAGGCGATACATCACACACTCCACTTCATCCGTCTCTGTTGGAAAGCGGTCAGGATTAACTGCCTGACTTGTATTTGAGCGCCCAGGGTATTGTTGGTGTGAGTGTTGTAAAGGTCAGATAAATAAGAGAAATCAGGGAAGGGTGATCAAGCAAGTACATACAGCTCTCTTAAACTTCATACACCTTCAAGTCTGCTCTGTATGTGACATACTGTTTCTAATTCTGTCCACTGTATGTACAGTGCTGAGTGAGACCAACTTACATTCATTTAATTTCATGTCCAAATGGTCATTAAGTACGTTATTCATTTTAGTTCCAGGAAAAAAGAAGAACACATCTTTAACAGAATATTACACAGAAGCCTTGACAACTATAAAAGTTTTTATTTATGTATTTAGGGCATTCACCCCTTGGCTTTATTATGGCTTCCGTTATTCGTGGGAGACTTGCATTCAGTTTTTCAAGGAAATCTCCATACCTCCAAACTTCAGAACTGCTTCTTACGATCCAAGTAATCCCAAGCCAGTTCAGTGGTATTGCGATCTGGACTCTGGGGTGTCCAGTCTATTGTTCTGAGAATGGCAGCAGCTTCTTTTATTTGATTTGTGAAAAAAGCACACAGAAATTGCAAATTTCTTCTTTTTCCTTTTCTCAGTAACAGCTTCTTGGCAGCTACACATCCTTTCAGACTCATAGTGTTGTGCTGTCTTTTTACAATAGAAGGATGGACAGAAACACTTGTAGAATTATTCAAATCTGAGGCAAGAGTAGATCTTTCATCTCTCAAAGATGAAAGCTTTAAGTACTGCTTATCTGATGGTGATGAGTTTTGGTGGTCTACCAGGTCTTGCATGATTGTTAGGAGTCCTATTTTCTCTGTATCTTTCAATATTTTTTTAATCCAGTTTTGGAAACTCCTGCTTTTGGGATTATCTTATGTCTAATCTCCTCAGAAATATCTGCTGCAAAATGAATGACCAGTGCTTAATGGCCTTCTAGACAGGAAATAAAATAAATGAAGGGTGGTCTCTAATTCACGCACAGTACTGTATACCTGTGTATATTTATTGCAAGGTTGCCTCAAAGATACTCTCTTTAATAATGTATAATTTAAATTGCTTTATCTAACACTCCAGTTTGAATGTTTGTAGTGTGTCTAATTGTGTTTGAACTATGAGTGCCATTATTTTCCATTAAGCTGCAGACACTAAACTGCCTACATCAGTGTACTTGTGGACTGTTGTTTTAGATTAGATTCTTGTGGTGTGATTTTGTCTCCTGATTGCAGACGGGTTCAGGGAAGACGTACACAATGGGCACAGGCTTTGACGTGACTGTGGGCGAGGAAGAACAGGGTATCATCCCACGTGCTGTGCGCCAGCTTTTCCAGGGCATTCAGCGACGGCAGCTGGAGGCTCAGGAACGTGGCACACACCCGCCGGAGTTCAAAGTCAGCGCCCAGTTCCTCGAGGTGAGACAGTCATCCACAACACAAAATGCAATGCAAATACCATTCAGTCAAAGTCACTCATGCTTTGTCACAGTTAAGTGTTTTGCTTGCTAGAGACTAAATATGAGCGTGGTCTCCAGGTGTACTTTTTAACCACCCAAGAACTGTCCTGAAAACTGTCTTCTGTCCCCAAGTGAAAATTGTCCATCCAAGATATTGAACTGCTTTGTTTACATTATTATCTGAAGCACAGCAAATGTTTCATACATTGAGCTGCGGGCACTAATCATGTAAACACTTGCCTTCTGACTGGATAAATGGATCATGTAGGCTGAAAGCATTTTGTCGCTGTCCAAAGAAAACCATGTATCTTCGTTTTTGGTGATTTTTATCATTTCAACACAACAGTCCTTTATGTTGTATGAAAATTTCATGATGAATGGACCAATAGAAATGCTCAAAATTCACTTGGAATAAAATCTCTTTACATTGACCTACTGTGAAAGGTAAAAGTGTTTTTGCCTTTGTTACTATTTTGGAGATACTTGTTTTTCTTTGGACAGTGACAGTTTGCATCAGTTTATGCTAGCTGCATGCAATAAACAAATAATAAACCTTTTCTTTTTCATTTTTACTCAAGCAAATTATATCTTGTTGGTATATTTTAGCGCTATTTGCTTACAATATTGTTTGGATATTCCAATAACAAACATGGCTAAAATAGCGCCCCCCTACTAGAGAGGTCTCGAACATGGGTTTATAACTCTGACTGAGCTCTTAGGTGCTTTCATTTGCTTATTATTTTCTCCCCTGTGGACCATGTAATGGTTATGATTTGATTGCATTAAGTATGCATGTATAACAAAGTAGAAATGCTGATGAAGCTAATGGAAGCAGATGGTTGGGGGTTGCACAGCTCCTGTCTGGATTATAACCCCATTTATCCCTGTCTGTTTGGGTAGACTGATGATCTTGTCCAGCACAGCTGAATAAAATCACATCATGCATGTAGGATAGTGTGTCTGTGTTGAAACAGAGTGAGATAGGATAATGGCTTAAGTGAAAAGGAAAAGAGTGATACGGAAAGAGTGGTGACAGACTGAGGGAAAAGCCCAGGGAAGTCCGTCTTCAGCTTCCTATTAGTCAACTGTCCTGACAGCCCACACACACAGAGCTGGACACTGTCATTCACACTCTGTTCAAATAAGGCTCGGGTAATGAGTATAAACCCACATTTGAGTGTTTTAATACATGATTCAGCAAGGTTCCTCCTCTCCTAGGGTGTCTGTCTTGGGTTATAACTGGGGGCATTTTTCAAAAGTATCTCTGTTGCTGTAAATGAATGAGGCTCTCCCTAGAGCCAGTCTTAATGGGCCAGTAATATGCCCCTTATTCTATTAGTGTAGCCCTCTGTGTAAGTCTTCTGGGTTTGCTCTCTCAGCCTTGTGGCATCTGCCTCTTCATGTGTCTGAATTCTGAATTCAGTCCCTATCCTATCTCTTATCCTGATGTAAATAAAGTCATTCAGAGTAGCTTGATGTGAAATGCTCTGTTCTAGAAAAAGAATTGTTCACAGAGGTAGTGATAGGAACCAGATGTCTGAAGATGACTTTCAAGCCTCTAAAAGCTCATTTACAGAAAAGTATTACATGAAGAATGTAGATCGTGTTCACAAAACCCAGAAAAAGCATCCCACGGCCGTATTGTTGACATTCCAAGAGCATAATGTGTATGAGCAGTCAATGCTGGCTGTGGATTCCAAATCAAGATATGAAGAAAAAGTCTGTTTGATCAAAGATGTTGATCCATAGCAAATCTGTAAGTTCTCTTTGAGGCCTGATTATGTGTTATTGCCCACGATAACATATCCAGACATCTATAATTACCTATAAATGCACCATCAGCCTACACATCACAGGAGATAAAAGCACACAGATCGTTAGATTACTATCCCAATTTAATTTTTAATATGATTTTCAATTTAATGTTTAATTTCTTCTCTTTCAAATCTATTATTTTAAGCAACCGGCAATCAGCCAACTCATTATTTGGATTTTGGTTAATTCGTCTCGCGCAGTGCACTGCGTTTGAATGCATCTCTACCAAAATGCCGTAGCATAATTATGCATGACTCATTGTGCTAAACAGACTGTTGCTCTTTTACTGTCAGTGCAGCACTTTATTTGATTCATGTTATTTAAAAAGGCATTCATTTAACAACACACTGGTCCTCGTCTATTTGTTTGTTTATACTTGAAGGACCAGGGAGCTAATATAAGATCCAGGTCTCCAAATTCAGATTCACATTTACAAATTACATGTTGATCATCTACAATTTTAGTACTTCCATGTGTGCAATTATTATTGTCATTGAAATGTACTGTTTTTTTATTGTTTTTAGTGATATAATTAATGATATTGATGTTGATTTTGATAATTCAATTGTGAGTTTGTTTGTACATGTACACTGAAGAAAAAATGGAAGAATATTGTGCTTGTTTTTATGCTCAGAACACAATTGTGATGAATGAGGACCGCTTTCTTTTTCCCACGCCAACACTCTGGAAAACTCATTTCTTCTGCCTCGCCCTTTAACTGTTGCTCTTTGTGTCTATGTCTCTAAAGTCAGTGTGGTTATCACTATTTATCATGATCAGGGCCCCCTTTGGCTTTCTGTGTGGTCGCCACAGCTCCTGTGGCTAAAAGGCTGGCCTTTCTTCTGCCTTTTGGCTTCTTGACCTTTGGTCAGTGGTGGGTCAGAATGCATGTGTATTTGTCTTGCAGCTCTATAATGAGGAGATCCTGGACCTGTTTGACAGCGCACGTGATCCTGAGGCTCGAGGCAGGAAGTCCAACATTAAGATCCACGAAGATGGAAGTGGCGGCATCTACACCTCAGGAGTGACCTCACGCCTGGTTAGCTCAGAGGAAGAGGTCAGATATTTCTGTGCTGTTTGTGTCAGTGAGTGCGTGACTAAATGAGAGAGATATCTGTTAGTTTTTCTTCTTTTTCTTCTTATCATATGATTATTATTATTATTATCATTGTTACTATTACTACAGCTTCATGATTACTTTTTACCTCTACTGAGTATGTTCAGCTTTAATCTGTTTACCAAAAAGAGCAATGGAAAATTTGATTTGGCAATAATAAGAACAATAACCACAAAGTTATGTTTTAATTTGAGCCTCTGTCAAACGGGTGAGTTCATTTCCAGCAATCTATTTATATTTGTATCATTTAACCCGAATGAAAAGACTTTGTGACATATTTGTTGTAATAAATGTGAGCAATGAGTAAAACCTGATGACATTTTTGAAAAAAATATAATTTGGAAGACATTTGGAAGATGAGGTATAAAAACACATGAAAAGTTATGTAAAATGATTTTGTAGCATAGTCTGTTTGCATAAGAAAATTGTATGATGGTGCAACAGCACAAAAGATTTTTTTTTATGTATAAAAAATACATAAAAATGGCAAAAACATTAAAGAAAAGCCAGCCCTAAACTGCTTGCCTTGGATGGACTGACTCCCTTTGCAGTCCGTGTGCATCTGTAAGTGTCAAGAGTCTACCTTGAGTTTATCCTTTAGGCATGAATACATATTCTTCAATATGATATCATAACTAAAATGTTATTGATGAAATGGTTAAATGGTTGGCACACCATTAAAGGGTTAAACTTTTCTATGTTTTATCAACAGGTGAGTGAGAGTGAGTGAGAGTGAGTGAATGAGTGTGTGTGTGTGGGTGTGTGTGTGTGTGTGTGTGTGTGTGTGAGAGAGAGAGAGAGAGGGAGAGAGGGAGGGAGGGAGAGTTCCATTAAGTATTTATTCCTTTGGGTTTATTTAATGGCTGAAGACTTTGGGTATTTGGGTTGATCATGTTTTTACTTGTCTCACAGAGATAATGAGATGACAATATTGAGCACTGATGAACAGCATTTATATAAGACGGTTCATCTCACTGCATAAGTAGGCTTATTTTTGCAAATGTGTACATAAATACAGAATGAAACTCTGACCCCCCTGTATGCTGTGTCCTCAGCTCCTCCAGTGCCTGAAACTTGGCGCTCTGTCTCGGACCACCGCCAGCACACAGATGAACGCGCAGAGTTCCCGCTCTCATGCTATCTTCACCATCCACTTGTGCCAGATGAGAATGTGTCCCCAGCCCCATCTGGTACAGCCCAGGCTTTCTGTTCACTAATTACTAATCAATAACAGTTAATGGAAGATATACACTCTGTCTATGTTGCCAGACAGTTCCGTTTCACATTTGGAAGCACTAAATTTGTGCCAATAACAAGTTCAGACAGGCTTTGAGTTAAGAAACAGACTGGAGTTCTTTATGCTAATCTGCAATTAAATACCTTCTGAAACACACCTGCCTGTCAGCATTAGATATCTAAAACGGATAGATAAGTAATGAATAAGAACTGAATGCTTTATAAGCATTTTAGTCTATGCTTATGTTATATGCTTCATGCATTCTCCTGTCCTTTTCTTTCTGTTTGAAGGTGAATGGGTCCGTAAATGCTGAGGAGAATGGAGTGGCTGATGGCTCCGTTTCCCAGTCTGAGTATGAGACCTTAACCGCCAAGTTTCATTTTGTGGACCTGGCCGGATCGGAGCGGCTCAAACGCACAGGAGCCACGGGAGAACGGGCGCGAGAAGGCATCTCCATCAACTGTGGCCTGGTACGAGCCTCAGCCATGATGTCCCTTGAATTAATGAAATGTACACAGTTTTACTCATTAGTTCACATCCAAGTTTGGTGTCTGAAGTTTCCTTCTTTAGTTTTGCACCATAGATATGAAGCTAACATTGCAAGTAAAGAACGGAAGCTAATACAAACCCTTTAGCATGTTTAAAAACTACATGCCTGAATCATCATGCTTGCCTCGAGCTGTGTTGAATTGTTAAGTGATCTCAAATAGCTTTGCTTATGTGCTTTCTGAGAGTGTGTGGTATACTGTTTTCTGTAAAAATGGATAAAGACACAGACAATATGTGGGCTTCCAGGGGGCTGTAACTACTGTTTTTAGCTATGTGAGACACCTTTGTCCATTTTTATAGATAACAGAATGTCATACAGTGTCAGAAACCACATCAGCAGGTCTATTTGAGATTACTTAATAAGTCAGCATGGTTTGAAGTGTACATCAAAAGCTTAAACACCCCTGGTTAAATTATGTTTTGTTTATTTCCTAAGTGGAAAAGAATCAACACAACCTCTACAGGGAACAAACGTAAATATGGTATTTAGCCTTAAATATTCATGCACAGTTTTTATTTATTGGCTGAGTTTAATGTATAAAATATAAGAAAACAAAAAATATAAAATGTGCCGTAGCTTTTGCTAATTATAATTGTGCGTTAAATGTGTAGAAGTGTGTTCTCTGTAGAGGATATGTTAATCTATTTTTACCATCAACAAAACGTGATTTGCCCAGCGCCACCCCAACTTACTAGCATACTAGCTGGTGGCTTTAAACTTCCATTACTTGTTAGCTACCTTAGCCTTGTAGCTCCTGTACAAGATAAAGAAGCACTCTTTGGACACTAAACATGTCTTGGCTAATCAACACTGTGGAAATGTGTGATTTTTGGCCAAACCATCGTTTTAACCATTATACAGTAGACTTGCTTTGTCAGGGTTTTTTTTACAAGTACATCTTAAGTCTCTTGGAACTAATTATTGCTAAGGGGCTTTCTGGTGCACTCAGCACTTTCTTGTGCTTTGTGATGTGACAATGCCTTGGTCAGCTGCGGGATCTGTGAGAGTCATTACTCCAGCTCCTCTGTCAGATGGGGCCAGTGAAGGTGCAGGTAATTGCATTGTGATAAAGCAACTAATAATAAGAGGCACGATTTCTGGACTTGGATCAGAGCCAGAACAGGGCCCATTGTGTCTGTAACTCAGTTAATCTACAGTAAGTGGAGCCATTTAAAAGAGTTTAATCTCACTTATGTAACAGTGAGCCGGGGATGTGATGGAGTGTGACGGGGTGTGTGACAGAGCGTGTTTGTGTGTGTTGCAGCTGGCACTGGGTAATGTGATCAGTGCACTGGGAGATCAGAGTAAGAAGGCTGGTCATGTGCCTTACAGAGACTCCAAACTCACTCGCCTGTTGCAGGACTCACTGGGGGGGAACAGGTAATGTTTCCAAATTACACACACATTCACACACAAAAAAAAAATACAGCTTTATACCAGGTTTTGTTAATTACTGAACATACAGGTTCATATTTTTCTTCAGCTTAATGTTTAGCTCTTTACTGCTGGCATTTCTGTATATTTCTGCCTTTTAAAGTATTTTTCTCTTTTATTACACCACAGTTAGTACAGACCTTGCACTGTGATTAGCTAAGAGGTGTTCTACCAGTGCCTGTATCTCCCAGTTATGGTGCTCTGACCAAATCTCTTTAAGTATCACTCTGCTTTATTTGCCTGTAACCTAGCAATGACAACCAGGCGTTAAAAAAGTATCAGCGACGTTAAAGTCACATGTTTCTTACAAATAAGAAGGCCACTGAAAATAACTATAACAATAACCTTCTAGTCCTAACAGCAAGCAACACAAGAGAGCAACAGCGATAAAACCAATGCTCCTATTGTAATCAACAGAGCTGTGTGCACCAGATGTGACGGCTCCATTTCTATTTTTGTTGCATCGCACTGATGTTCCACATCAACAAATATAGCAGCCACCTTTCATCAAAACACTACTAAACTAAAAAATGGATGAGGAGAAACAAATCAATCAGGTGGTGAAAAGAGAGCTGTATGACCCCTCCTGATTTTATAAGGATATTAATTGAAAGGAGACAGAAATTGTAATTGCTAGACTGTTGCAAGTTTCAGGTGGTAGTACCAAGTGTTAACTATCGGCTACTGATATTACATTTAAGATTATAGAAATGCATTACAGAAATGTTATAGCTATATCGTAGCTAGTTAAGGTCTGGTTTCCAGGGTAGGAAGTAGGAGATCTTTAACAGTGTATATTGTAAGTAAACATCTAAAAATCTAAATCTATAAAGATGGGAAAAGGCAGGAGGACACTTTGTACTAATTTAATTTGTGCTGTACAATATTGGACTCACCTGGACTTCAGCAATGAGATGTTTGGCATCCATGGCTCTCAAAAAAATGATATCTGGTATATTTCACTGCTGCAGTTGACGGCAAAAGTTGGGAAAACTCTTGACAGAGCGTTCCACTTACTACTGCTGTGTGCAATACGTCGCAGCTGGTGGTGGCTAAATTTTCAGTTATGGCTCCATTAAAAACAATGAAATATCCTGTTTGTATTTGTCTGTCTACTGCCAACATGTGAACACAGCATTACTACATTTCTATGTAAATTTAGCACATACAAAAACAGAAAATACATACTTCTGTAAGATACTATCAGCCCATTTTGTCAGATTCTAAAGAGGAGTTTGAGTAACCTTGTCAGTCGCCAGCTGTGATGGCAGAAAAACTAAACAAACTGGAATAAGCCAGAAACCAACAGAAAGCAAAATGGGCTGTGCAATGTTTTACAAACTGGCTGGAACAAAACAAGATTCAGGTTTATGTGGCAGGCATTGAAACAGCTGAGCTGAACCTGATATTGCGAGAGTTTATGGCACATATCTGTATGGCAAAAAGCTCCTACTTCTTTTGCAAATATTATTAATTATTATAAGTAGGCATTGCAGTGTGTGTTATATTATAGTATTGCATTATAGTATGACATGCAGGCAAAACAAATACTGTGGGGGCAGATTTTAGTTAAAGGGGACAAAGACAGTATCGCTAAATGTATTGCTGGTGACACATTAGATAAGATAGGGTTAACCCATGTATTCAGTAAAGATATGGCTCTTTAGAATGTTGTGTACCATTTACACAAACACATAGTTGGCAAGATTTTGTTTATGACGCAACATGGATGGTAGTGCATGCACATAATGTATTACTGTGAACAGTGAAGGTATTGTTGCTTCTCTCCCACTCTTGAGAAGGTTAATGCATGCATTCTGTGTGTGTGTGTGTGTGTTTGTGTGTAAGTCCAGGGTGCAGATATTTAGCCCACAGCAAGAGCAGGCTGGCCACATGCACATGTTTATGATTTGGGATGTGAGGAGGAATTCTTCTGAATTAAACATTAGGGGCCTGCAGCCACAGATCCTCCTTCAAGCAGTTAGCGTGATCACAAAGCATGCAAAAATGCCCCACGCATGCACACACACACACACACACACACACACACACACACACACACACACATAGAGAGAGAGAGAGGTAGCGTGTTTGACTGAGTAAATTTGTATATGGGTGTGTTGTTTTTGTGTTATGAGAACCTTATTTACCTCTTCTATTCTTTGCTATTCTCTTCTATTTCTATTCTCCTGTCATCTCTGTTCTCCCATCTTCTTCTCTTCTCTTCTCTTCTCTTCACTTCTCTTCTCTTTTGTATTATCTTCTTTTTTTCTTCTCCTATCATCTCCTTTTCTCAATTTGTCTCTCTCTTTCTCTACCCCTCAATCCCCAGTCGAACAGTGATGATCGCTTGCGTCAGCCCCTCAGACCGGGACTTCATGGAAACATTGAACACACTGAAGTACGCTAACCGGGCGCGCAACATCAAGAATAAGGTGGTGGTGAACCAGGACAAGACCAGTCAGCAGATTAGCGCCTTGAGAGCTGAAATCGCCCGCCTGCAGATGGAGCTCATGGAGTACAAAGCGGTGAGGAAGATGATGGTGATGAAGGAAACATCAGTAGATTAATCATGCTAAGTAGCTCCTTTAGCTTTCATTCATAAGCTCTCCTGTAGCATCTTCACACACACCTTGTGATGTAGACTTACAGTTTTGTTGTTTGCTTAGTGAAACCTTTTTTTTAGCATACAACATTTCTGATAATATCTTCTACAATCGTGACATTTTCTGGCCATTGTCTCCCCGCGATGTGTCTTTGCCAACAGGATGTCAGCTGTCAGATAGTTTGCTGGACAAGCAGGGTTGAAAGTAAACAGGAAGAGATCCTATTGTTTATCCTATTGCTTATTTACTTAGTCACACAGTAAAGAATTGAAGCTGAAATTGAGGCATCATTCTAGCATAACTTGAAACCTTCTCACTCCATTATAATACATTTAATGTGGCCCTGATAAGAAGTTGGTTGTTTCCAACACCACAAAGCTCTCTTTTCTAATCTTTCACTTATTTTGTCAGTAGGAAACCAGTTGTGTGTCCTAGAGAGGGTAGACTAGGAAGGTTGTAGGTAGTGGAGGACGGGGAGGGTTTGTGGAGGAGAATGACAACAGCGATTAGCAGGATATGGGTTTATAGGATCTCACTCCAGTGGCAGGTCAGTGGACCGAAGCAGTGGCTGAATGCTGCGGCTCTGTGATGACCTGGATGAGAGGGAATTGGGGCTTAGTGTTAGCGGTTATTGGTCAGCGGTTAGCAACAGTAGCAGTAGACGTGAGCTGTACAGAGGCTCAAGTGGCTGAGGTCAGTGGAGCAAGGATAAGGGTAGAAAGTGGGGTTAATTCACTTATAAAGAATGACTGATAGCAATCAAAGAAGACTTTTGGAGGGGTTACATTCAGTGATTTAAAAAAAAGGGCAAGTTCTAAGTAATATAAGGCTTCTAATACAAACATTGCTACAGGCCTCGCCCTAATGTAATGGCCCTACTTGGGCTGCCAGTGGTTATGCCACTGTTACCTCTTATTTCTCCGTTCCTCTGTCCCCCTCCAATGTTTCTCACAGATTTGAAATATATCTGTGAGGTGGAGAGCGGGGGTGAAGGGGAGACACAGGCTCAAAAACATAAATAAACAACAAAATTCATAACTTTTTTTGCGCTTGGCTATTACAAATACACAAAGTTTATCATTTATGAGGCTATGTAGGTCAATTACACACAAGTATTAGTGACAAAAAGACTTTTATTTACAGGCCTGATGCATGTCTTTGTCTTCTTCAAGCTCATTTTCCCCTGAGAAGCTATATCCTGTTGTATAGATACACATAAAAATTTAGGGTTTGATCTGCTGCCTGCCTCAGTTCTTATGTGGCATATTTGTTAGTGCTTTAAAAATGACGATTTAGATCTGTTTCGAAACCTTTTGCTCAGGTAGGTTGCACCGCAGCCTATCAGCCAATTTTTTAAAGCTACCACAGAACAACAGTGAACTGAAGTGTTTTGTGTCTGACAGAAAAAAAACAATTACTGGCAAAAAAAAAAAGGTGAAATGTTGATAACAGAGACCCAAATAACGTATTTTACTCAAGGTTCATTCCCTAAAATAGCCAAGATGTACTTCTCTAAGATATGGCCATTTCTTCTGACTGTATTTAAGTAAGGTTTACGCTAACTTAATAACGGCAAAGTGCTTTTCTGACACCGTGAACTAGCACACATCGGGATACCAGAGGCATGAGTCTCTCCTCCTTTTTGTACGGCTTCTTGTTAAAATATTTCTCAGTACTCATCTGTTAAGAAAGTGCACTATAATCTCAACTAGGCATTCTTTGAAATTGAGAGAAAGCACAATTTTTTGCTAGTTACTAACTGTTTGCTGTCTCCTTCTGCATGATTTTTTTCCAAAAAAGATTAATAAAAATGCAACTTTTTAAATGGTTGAAATATACTTGGTGTCCATGTGCTTGAGCACACCACCAAAGTATAACTTATGTGTGAAAGACACTGCTCTTTCTCTCTCTGCAGGGAAAACGTGTGGCCTGTGAGGATGGCTCAGAAGGTTTCAGCGACCTGTTCCAGGAGAACTCCATGCTGCAGAAGGAGAACGATACTTTGCGGATGCGCGTGAAGGCCATGCAGGAGACCATCGACCACCTCAACACCAGAGTCACTCAGCTTCTCACCAATGAGATCAACCTGCTGCTCACCAAGACAGGTCAGAGCCACAAACATGGGCTAACTTTCAGCACTTTGAGAGTTTTGAAAAGTAGTTACAGCGTGTTGTTAAAACGGCCCCTTGTGGGTTTTCCTAATGTAATTCAGATAAAAAGCTGATTAACCAAGCTTGCTGATTGACTAAGCAGTGAATCCTGTGGTTTCTCTTCAGGTGAGACTAATGAGGAGATTGGTAATCTGATTCAAAACTACATCAGAGAGATTGAAGAACTCAGGTGAGACACTACTGCCCTGCCTCTTAGGTTTCATTTTATTTTATTTCATCTTTCCTGAAGAACAATAGCTAATAAAATTAAAGGAATAGCTTTGCTAAACATGTTAATCTTTCTAACAGTGACTGGAAGCTGGTAGCCACTAATTTGCATGACATCATTTGCATAATGCTAATCAGTGGCTGTTAACTTTAATTTATTGTTAGCAACTTCAGCTTTTTTTCAGCTGTTCCTTGCAAACTATTCCACATTATCAACAGTAAGCCTAACAGTTCTGTACAAAATATTTCCATCTTTAAATGTAAATGTTTCCCCTTTTGTCGTAGGTCTAAGCTGTTGGAGAGTGAGGCGATGAATGAATCCTTGAGACGCAGTGTGTCTCGTCTCTCTGCTCGCTCTCCTTACCCTCCCTCCCATGCCTCCGCCCCTGGGCTCCCGCTGGGTTCCTCCCCCTCCGTTTCCATGGAGGCAGAGATGACGGATGTGATTCGTCGAGCCAAGTTGGACATCGAGAGACTGAAGAAGAAGGAGAGGAATCAGAGGCGCAAGAGGTGAATAGAGATGACTGCTGCGTGGTTGACTGTGGATTTGACAGAAACATTTTACTCAGTTGTAATGTGGATAATGTGGAAGAAGAATTCAAAGCATAAGTGGAGCAACTTTCTACTCATTGGTCACTTTATGACCGACACCTACTTTATGTGTCGGTCATAAAGCTGCACATTTAACCCTGTGCTAAACCCTGCTCCTACCGATTGCCATTTAGTGGGATAACTCATCTCCTCTTGCTATTGAAAGCTTATCAGATGTAGCAGTGCTAACCTGAGGGGTGGGGCTTTGTTAAAGGGTCAGTTAGGACTGCAGCCTATCTGTAATCAGATTTTAATGCACAATTCATCAGCTGCCCTCTAACCCATTCATCACTGAAGAGGTCTTTGCTCAGAAATTGACCATCGATAAAGGGCTAGAAGATTGATAACACAAACTGTGCATCAACACTGTAACTCCACAAGGTGCAAAGTAGGTTTTCCTAATAAAGTGGCTGGTGAGTTATGGTATGTCATGATACATGGTGCAAAATGACTAAAGCAGGCTTCTTTCTTAACGTCCAATACGTTTTCTGTTTTCTGCTGGCAAGAGCGATATCGCGTCCCTTAACTCCTACAACAGCAACACAGAGTCTAATTTCAGCTATAAAACCTGCTGGCTGCAGATTTATCTGCAATTGTGCAAGTGTTTGAGAATGTGTGTGTGACTCTGATTAAAGCGAAGGACAACAAGCTGGCACAGATACAAATAGCCCTCCATAAATCTCTGTGTAATGAGGAAGAGTAGTGGGACATCCTACTGCAACTGCAGTGGAAGAGTCTAATTTGGCTCTAATAGGGAAGGGGTCTCAGGTAATGGCTGAGCTCTTTGATCCACAGTGCTTCTGCAGTTATTATGGGTCAGTCAGAGGAATGACTCAGACCTAGCAAGGGCAGAAGCAACAGCCCTGGTATTAATTTTTCCTGCAGTTATTGGTCCCTCTGGTCAAATCAAATTGCCATTAGACTGCTTTATGATTGCTCAAATTCACTAGAGTTTTGAAACAGGACTCAGTAAGCAATATGGATGAGGCCATTTGTGTCTCTTTCTGTTAATTGTGACCTTGTGCTGCTGAGATGTCCACAAGATATTAAGAGTAGTATTTCCAAAGTGAGGTCCTAGTTCTTTTATACCTAGTTTAATTAATACAAAATACTCATGCAGTATGTAACATTTTGTACAGTAGAGTGTATTTAATACAGGATATTCATACACTACAGTGTTTTATATAATGTACCATTCAGACACTGTGACTTTGTACAGGACAGTGCAATATATTTATACAGTACTATATTCACACAGTGGAGGTTTCATCTTATTTTGCCAGTGTTTATATGCAGTATGTAAAAAGCCAGTGTGCTATAGGGTGCCATCTGTACCAGTTGTCTCATATAACATGCTGGTCACATGTTTGGGCACATCAGTATAACCTGCATTCTGAATGCATGCTGAATGCATTTTCCCAGCTTACACACTGCTGTGGGCCTTCTCTTCTTATCACTGTGCAACATTCCACATTGCTGTTAAGTAGTACTCACTTCTCATGCAAGTATGAATGAACACATATTGGTCCTTTGAATACTGCCAGCCATATTGATACTTATGAGTAAATGCATGTTATGGTTTGGTAATTTTTCGAACCTATGTTTTTCTCCCTTTCTACAGTCCAGAGAGGGAGAAGGGCGTGAAGAAGAGAGCGAAGCTTCAGGCTCAGGAGAACGAGCAGAATGGAGAGAGCGTCCTGAGCAGAGAAAATGGAGATGGCGACTCTGATAATGAGCCTGAAGTAGTCAGTACACAATTTTTTAAATTAATCTTTTAAGATTCTTAGACATGCTATTCTGTAATCATTTAGGACCAGATTAATATGAAAATTGTTTGGGCGATACAGATTTTACAGAGTTAAAAATTTGATAACAATTAGTGTATTTTATATTTCTGTGTTAGAATTGTAGTTAAACAGTGCTTTACTGACAGAGATTGTCACACTTCCTAAACTCGAATAAACAGCAGACACTGATCGTCTTAAACAATAGAAATATTGTAGCATGAGGGTTGTGCTGCTCATAATTATTTGTGGTTTTGGTTTCTATTTATTATTTCTAATTTTTCTCATTTTTATTAATTCTTTTATCTAAATTAGTGTTAGATTTGGGTACTTTCGACATATTTTTGTAACCACGATGGTGTTCAAATTCACCAGGTCAGCCTTTGTTGTCATCATGTAGTTAAAAAAGGAGTGTCTCATGTTGACCTCTTTAAGGTTTTGCCCCGTTGAGAGATTGAGAGTTTGTATCATCCTGGCTTGGTCAAAAATCTGCACGTCATTGTCAGTATTTCCACTGTGACAAATAAAACCATGGGTCAGCAATACTGGCTGATATTATTGGCTTATATTTGCGTAATCTTTTGTGTCTATATTTTGTATCTGTTTAGGATGGCATGTACCCTCTTCCTGAGGAGGAGAGTGGCTGTGATGAAGATGAGGAGGATGAGGAAGAAGAGATCAGAGAGGAAGAAGAGTTTGACAGTGATGAGAGTCTGGTGGACTCTGACTCTGACTCCGATGAAAAAGGTTTGGAGTTTGCTGTGTGGAAGAGAAAACTAGTGGATCAGTTAAGACTGCTGATATAAAAGACAAGCAGAGAATCTGAAGGTTTTGCAAATGTAAAGAGGCTTTAGATGTCTGTTCTGTGGTTCTGTTCTCTCAGCTAACTTTCAAGCGGACTTGGCAGACTTGACGTGTGAAATAGAGATCAAACAGAGGCTGATCGACGAGCTGGAGAACAGCCAGCGGCGGCTGCTGACTCTGAAGCTCCAGTACGAGGAGAAGCTCATCCTACTTCAGAACAAGATCCGGGACACACAGCTGGAGAGAGACCGTGTATTGCAAAACCTCAGTGAGTCTCCACCCCAACACATGTTTACCACACATGTTTACCCTGATTAAAGCGGGAGCTGCATGTAGAGGGCCTTGGTTGCCTTATTTGTAGTAACATCAGGTGCTTACCTGTATGTCTGTAAAGGAATACTGCAGTTTTTCAGCCAAACCTCTTTCACTTTCGCATTTGTAGCATGCATTTGATAACCATGGACAGTTACTTAGAAAAGAAGAGAAAAACCTTGAGTCAATATACACACATAATAGAAGCAAAACAGCAGGTGCTTCAGCATCTTCTCACTGGCTTCCATTTAAGTGTTTTGAATCATTCGTTTTTTTCTAGTTCTTTTGCTAAATCCAAGGAAACACATTGAAATTATTGTCTGTTGTAATCGCCCATGTGGGTACAGATACAGTTTTCATCTCAAAGGAAAATTTGAAACAAACTTGCAGGGACATTTTGTTGCTTTGGTATAATCTGTGTATTGAGCAGTCACATTTTTATAAGTGGTATCAATCCTGTACCCGAACGAGTTTGCTTTGTATTTGTGAGTTTCTTATCTGAATTTTCCGTTCCACCTTAAATGTTGGGGCAGTTACATTTGGGTGCCCGCAGGCACTATAACATAACCTGCCACATCATTTAAGCTGGAATGGAAAAATTTGAATGAGAAGCTGCCAAGCAAGAAGCAATTAAGTTTGTGGAATGGGAATGGAACCAAACTGTGTTTTACTCACTATTTCATTACCATTAAAATAATGTAGTCTTAGATGTTGACACTTCATTATAGGCCTATTTAGTCTTTATTTTTCTTTTCAGTCAAATTATTCAGACTATTTTTTTCTTTCCAAAAGTATTATAAAAGTATTTGACCCTTTTCAGCTGAATATTTTTGGTGGCTGAAAACTGCTAATTAGAGGGCATATTGTGTTTCTGCCGATCAGAATGAACATGACAGATTTTTGGTTGCAAAAAGCCAACCTTGGTGTCATTCTTTTTGATTTACCATCCAAATGACAACCGAACACTTTTTAACAAGTGCTCTGCTTGGTGTTTTAACAGTGTCCATGGAAAACTACACAGAAGAGAAGGCCAACAGCATCAAAGCAGAGTATGAGAAGCGCTTGAAGGAGATGAACAGGGATCTGGTAAAGCTGCAGGCCGCACAGAAAGAGCACGCTCGCCTACTGAAGAACCAGGGCCGCTATGAGAGAGAGCTCAAGAAACTGCAGGCTGAGGTGGCGGAGATGAAGAAAGCCAAGGTACAGTTGGTGCAGGAATGATGACACGCAGAATATATAGAAATGCTGCCACCTAGAGGCAACATGTAGACATGACGTGTTTGGTGTGCTTCATAGGTTTGTGCTGGAGCTACTTGCATAATAAACTGTTTGACTGACTTTACAAATTTTTGGATTCTTCTCATTTATAATGAAACCATTTTTTTATCTGCTCCAGATAGTGCTTAGTGTAATGGCCCAGCACAGTGTAAGGCACCACACATGGCAGCTCTGAACTAGTTAGATTTCTGTACTAATTTTCAGCGTGTTGTTTGTTCTCCCACTTGCAGGTGGCGCTGATGAAGCAGATGAAAGAGGAGCAGCAGAGGAGGAGGATGATTGAGGCCAAGAGGAACAGAGAGATCGCTCAGCTCAAGAAGGAACAGCGACGGCAGGAGGTTAGTTAAAGAATAGTCCAAAAGCATTCATTTGGTAAACTTCATCATCGTTACATTTTTTTTGATAGAATTTTAGCATGCGTGTATTGAATTTATACGAACATTAACCATATTTTTATTTTCAGGTTAGATTTAATATTATCAATCTATATCTATCTATCCAGAAAAAAAATGCTCAAAGGCTGCATTCACATTTCAAGCTTCATTGCTCAATTCTGATTTTTTGCTCAGATCTGATATTTCTGACATAATGGTTCGCATTTGTGTATGCAAGTGAGAAAAATGTGTCATTAATATAAACAAATGTTTCCTGAAACATCCTGCATTCACACATTCTAATCAAAACATCACATGGATGAATCACATGTGTCATGAACAGCAAACAAACAAAACCAGTAGAACAAGCCTTGGTCGCAAAGATGAGTTATTAATAGAGCAAGACAAAGGCAAAAAATAGATGCCATGCTTTCAGACTGTTTACTGGCAATAACTTCAAGTCGTTGTCACGGTAACACTGAATGATGGTTCATGAGACACAAAAACACATGAATTCCAATCTGACCATTTTCATTAAGGTTGCATGGCCACAGATTGAGTATGTATCTGATCTATAATCACATAAGAAAGTTGCTCAGATCTGACTTGTTACGTGCCCACACAGCTCTGAAAAAGCAGATCTGTGTTGCAGGAAGGCAAAAAAAATCAGATTTGTGACACTTCAGCGTGGCATGTGCATGTAGCTGTAAATTTAAATGTAGTTAAAAGCTCAAAAATGCCCCTGAAAGTCAGATCTAAGGTGCAAAAATTACCTCTTGACAAAACCGTTTCTGACGTTCGTCCACGTGTTGCCCCCCCGTAGAGATTAAGGAGTTAAGCTATGCATTTTTTCTTTCGAATTTTCGCCCCCTCGCAGTATCAGATCCGTGCACTTGAGTCGCAGAAACGGCAGCAGGAGATTGTTCTGCGGAGGAAGACTCAGGAGGTGACAGCCCTGCGGAGGCTCGCTAAGCCCATGTCTGAGCGCGTGGCCGGCCGTGTGTCCCGCCGGCAGCCCAGCCTTGACTCTGGAGCCGAGCTGTCTGCCAGCACTACCACCACCTCATCTGAGCCTGAATCTAGCCGCTCTGTCTCTAGCATCGTGCGCCAGTGGAACTCCAAACTTAATGGCTACCTGGGAGAGAGCGAGGGCAGCAGGGGAGGGTCTCGGCTGGCCAGGTGTGTGGGACAGAGTGTGTGTAACTGTGTTGAGGTCTATTTGAGCAGTGGCTCATTATCCTCTGTCTTCAGATTATCTTTTTTGGGGGGTTTTGATGACATTCGTGAATGAGTTTCATACAAGTGTCATAACACAAAAGTGTCTAACGATGGGAGAGTGAGTATCAGCTAGAATACACTTTCCCTATTCTAATTTTGAAGATGAGTTTTGACACTTGCAAGGCTTTAAGAACCTCGGTAAATATGTCGGTAAATTTCAAGTTTCTTAACATAATTTGGAAAATTACCTTGTAAGTTTTCAAGTGTTTGACTTGAAAACAGATCATCAAATGATCAATATGTGAATGCTTACTAAGCAGTTTTTTTGGTTACAAAATAACTGTTAGCTTATTCCTTCTGGTCTGTTCTGTGCAGCAGCAGGAAAAAGTTCCAGAGAAAGGGTGTGAGCAGCAGCTTCTCAAAGACGGCACGGCAGAAATGGCAAGCTCTGGAGAGGAGGGTCATGGACATAGTGATGCAGAGGATGACCATTGCCAATATGGAGGCTGACATGGACCGCCTTATAAAGGTGCTGCCAGCATGTGTGGCTTTCTGACTGGTATTAGGGAACAAAGATTTTTTGGAACTTGATATAAATATAAACAATAAAAATGATGAAATAAATTTGCTTGATTGTTTAAAGATGTGTGTGTGTATGTACATACGTACAGTCGTATGTAAAGTTTTGGCACCACACACTTCACGCTGCACATTTAAATGCACTTACTGTTTATTTGCTGAATTTAACATATTGGAGAAAACATCAAAAATAAAATGTGTGCAAAAGTTATGGAACATTTTATATTCTCTGTTTTTTTGTTCAATCATTAAACTTAGCATATAAATATAACTTGAAAAATAGCATGTCAAAGTACCTTGTACTTGATGTGTTGACTTAGTTTCACTCAGAAAATCAACAATACATGTCATTTGACGGGGGGTGTTGAAAGTTTTGCATATAACCATAAAAAGGTACACTGGCATGTAGCAATAATGATTGCTAATGTATCTGTACCTCTTTTTTCTTTTCCTTTTTTCTCTATTTCTCTCTCTCTCTCATTTTGTCTTGCTGTCTTTCTATTGCTGTCTCCTTGTCATGTTTGCTGTCCCTTGCTTCTGTCAGAAACGGGAGGAGCTGTCCATGCAGCAGGAGGCGCTGTTGCGTAAGAGAGAGAAACTCTTAAGTGAGGGGCCCGGGGAGGAGGAAGATGAGAGAGTTGTTCAAGAGATGAATGAAGAAATTGAGGTGCTCAACGCCAACATCGACTACATCAACGACAGCCTGTCAGACTGCCAGGCCACCATTGTACAGATTGAGGAGACCAAGGTTAGTGCACACGTGCTAAATTCACTTCCAAGATGTTGACATCTTATTGAATGATAAGTAAGTTTCTGCTTTTTCTGATGCCACTGTACAGATGGCTGTTGGATTCTGTCCCAGCGATAGGACACAACCTTCTTAGTGCCTCACAAACCAGGCAGAGTTTTGAATATATACAAATATGGCCTATTTTAGTTAGTTGTCCATGTTTGTATACATTCAAAAGCCTTATTTTTGGTACACAAATAGCCATCTGTTTTTGCATATATTCAAAAGTCTTGTTTCTATTGAAGTTGATTGGGCTTGTGAGTGGCTAAAAAGGCTGTGTCCTATCATAGAGTTGAGTCAGTGATCCTACAGCCATCTATGGCTGGAGCACAACTGCTCTCTGTATGGAAACACTGGCTTAGTTCCTCTCTCTTTCGATGCACAGCAGTACTAGCCAGTTCTATGCATCTGCCAACTCAGTAACACTGAATTGAGCAGCCAGCGCACTCTTCCAAGCGCATTTAGCTGCCCTGCAACAATGTAAAATCAGTAATTGGAAAAGATGTGGTGGCTGGCTTCTTATATCTCAGAGGAAGCATGCGCTTGCTTAGGCTGGACCCTATGATAAGGGAGACTGAGACTGCAAGTGGGAATTCGGTGATGACTAACACTGAGGATATGATTGGGTGTACACTTTCATGATGGGACCTGAAATCCTGCATCTTTCCTATAGGATGAGCTGGACTCAGTGGACACCTCTGTTGTCATCAGCTCCTGCTCCCTGGCTGAAGCTCGCCACCTTCTGGACCACTTTCTGAAGGCCTCTATAGACAAGGTGAGCTGCCTAAATCTCTCTTGCACTTCATCTAGCTTCTCAAAGGTTAAACGCTAGAAAAAAATTAAAGCACGGTAAAGTACATCAAGTGAGGCTCAGTAAGTGCACATTTTAACTTTTTATTTGTAGCAGTGTTAGGTAAATGTGAGTTCAAGGAGTTGCAAAATCTGATGAACCTGTATGTGTGTGCACAGAACTTGCAGGTGGCTCAGAAAGAGGCCCAGATCAGACTGCTGGAGGGGCAGCTGCGTCAGACTGATGTGATTGGCTCTTCCCAGAATCACATGATCCTGGATGCCTTGAGAGAGAAGGCAGAGTGTATCCCAGAGTTACAAGCTCTCATTCACAATGTCCAACAGGGTGAGTTTGTTAAAACTAGAGGTGACAGTATATCTGTATTTGTTTGATACCAGCAGAAAATGCTAGATCAGATAGCAGAAGAAAAACAGAACAGACCAGTCTGATTGTGTAACAAATCTAGCCTGAAATGTCACAGAATTGCTTGTAGTGCTTTGTGACATAAAACGTCATAAAGTAGGTCACTGTAACCTGGATTTTGTTCATTTACTGTTCATTGACTGCATGCATTGAATGTTATAGAGTGAAATGGTTGTTGTTTTTTCCACAGAGAACGGCTATGCCAGCACAGATGAGGAGGTGTCAGAGTTCAGCCAGGCCTCAGAGACCAGGTCAGCCTCCTGGTCGTACTGATGTATTTCATAATCATGAACAACCTTTGTTTGTCTTTAAAAACTTTTTTGTTGTCACAGTTACTCCCAAATGAAGTCTTCAGCTAGTCAAGATGACTTCAAGCTCAAGGTAAATGTGTCCTTAACAACTGAAGGCCATTAATATTAATTTTACTCCACTACATTGTAAATTGTATTTGTTTTATTTATGCATTTTATGCATATGTGGTAGTGGAATGGCCACTGGATGGCAGTAGAGTATAACTCAGAAGGCACTGAAATGTTTCTGAGTAGGAATGCACATCTAAGATCTATTCAGCTCAGTCCATACAGCCAGGAAATATATTTCAGAAACTGATCTCTAATCAGCTTTTGTGCCTCATACACCTTGTAAGGCTGAACCTCGCATCTCTGGACAAATGAAGGCAGTGTCAGCCGAATACTTAGGCCCCATTCTCGACTACACAACCAAGAACATCACCAAGTCTCTGGCGTCTCTTTCTGAGATCCATGAAAATGGTTTGGGCTTTACTCTCCGCGAGCCCTACAGAGAAAGTGTGTCCCGCACAATCAGCCTGCCGGTTCGAGGACACACATTGTGAGTGAGACTATATGACTTCCATGTATCTGTTGCATCTATCCATAGCTGCTATGTTGCATTTGCCACTGTGCATAGAAAAAAATCTCTTTGCATTAGAACTGTTGAGAGCAGATTGAAACCATTTCTGTATATTGTTCAGTCCCAGGCAGTCCAGAGTCTCAGACACGTCATCTCCACTGACCAGGAGGCAGTCTTACGACAGGAGCCAGTACAGGTATCTAACTGCTTTGAAGCTTTCTGCTTGTAATCATAGCTGTCTTATCAAAACAATTTTTTTTCCAGCTACCCTTTACATTTTGCAAACAATTCATGATGAATGGACCAATAAAATAGTACTTGGAAAAAAAATCTTGTTACATTAATGTATGTTAAAATTAAGAATGTTTTTCCTTCTCCTATATGATTGCCATTTCTTAAAATAAAAGGTTTGTTATGACAGTGATTATATGTGAATGTGGCTTTAGGTCTAAAGCCAGAAATATACACGTATTTAAATGGCAACGCTCAGGCAACACAATGCACAGTACATATTCAGCATCCGTTCTTATATTATTGTGGTGGTTATAAACCTCAATACTCAAGGGGGTGATAGAGAACTAATCACAATGTCTGGTCAAAATAGTAATCATTACAACAGCTACAACAGCAATAAACAAGTCCAGTCAAACAGTTTGAGCATGTGCTGCTTTATTTGTTGCTTAGGTGAAAATAGATTAACTAGAGGACGGGGATGTGGCCACTGAGTCACACAGAGGAAGGATAGAATATGTCTGTCCAATTTCTGCATGGGTTCTACTCACTGTAGTGACCGTTGGTGCAGTGCTCAGCATGCTGCTTATGCTTGTGTTATGTTGTAAATACTGACGTGACTGATGCGGCCGGTGGCCGGCGCACTGCACAGTGGTGTAAAACTGTATCCATTTATACTGTTTTGTGTCTGTGCTGTTATCCGGTGTCGACCAGAGGAGGATGAGTTCCCCTGTTTGAGTCTGGTTCCTCTCAAGGTTTCTTCCTCCTGTTGAGGGAGTTTTTCCTTGCCACTATCGCCAAGGCTTGGTCACTGGGGGCATGGACCCGGATTCTTTGTAAAGCTGCTTTGTGACAACATCTGTTGTAAAAGGCGCTATATAAATAAATTTGACTTGACTTGACTAAATTTCTAGGCGATTTTACAATAGATTGATGCGCGAAATCGCTTTTGTGTAGCTCAGAGCGTTTGCATACTTTCTTGGGTTATATTTCTGGCCTAATGCCATGTCAAGTTCAGCAGGGCGAGGTTTTGTTTTGAGGTAGGATAGTACATTCATTTCAGAGGCGTACTTTAGCTCTGTTTGAACTGGATTTCTTTTACCTGGAGAGGTATAGTAATTTAAAAGATTACACATGAGATCTGTGATTTAGTCCAGTATCGATCTACAATCTTTGTAGTTTTATACATCTGACAAGTAATAATTCTTGAGTAAATTCAGTTACTGAATACTGAATTAGTATTACTTGGAGAGATATAGTAATTTAAATGCTTGATGATCTGTAATTTAAACCAGTTTAAAACTGCAATCTATGTAATTTTACAGATCTGACAAGTATGATTCATACCGGAGTAGTTTTACCTGAAGAGGTGCAGTGATTTAAATGCTTACTGGCAAGATCCATAATTTAATTCAGTCAACAGTCTATGTAGTTTTTACAAATCTGACAAGTAAAAAATCTTGCATAAATTCCTGATTCATTCTGGATTGGTTTTACCTGGGGAGATATACTTATTTAAATGATTACCAATGAGATCCTTGATTAAATCCAGTATGAATCTGCAGTGTCTTGAGTTTTTACAGGTCTGCCATGTAGTAATTTTTTAATAAGTTCCTGCTGGCTAAATTTTACCTGGAGAGGTACAGTAATGCTTGTGCTTTTGAGTACAATTTGTCATAGTTTGACCTGGTGCCATATTTGTCTTGCTCAGGCCTTCTGAAGTGATCTACACACCTCCTTCCTCCCCTCCTCTTCGTACCCGAAATGACCGCAATGTTTTCTCCCGCCTTACCAGCAACCAGAGCCAAGGGTCTGCACTGGACAAGTGAGTACTACTTGCACGCTGCGGATTTCTGCATTCATATGTTGGTTTCGCTTGTTGCTTAACTTTCTAGTTTAAAATTCCTCCTGTGGTTTGTTTTTCTTTACTTTTTGATTAAGAAAACTTTGTGATGAAGCATAATATTTTGTCAGTATGACATTGAGTCGAGGGTCAGTTCTTTGCAGCTGCCAATTTATATTTCCCCAGTAGAGATGATAAGTCAGAGCCTTCTTTGAGTTCAACAACATTGCTCCGCATTCCCCTATGATTAATACAGTGGATAATTCCCAGCTCTGATAGGTCTGTGAGTGCAGCCTGTATGAGCTGCTAGAAGCAGTGTAGCAGGATCGCAGAGATAACAAGGGCCTGACACCGTAAGCTTCAGTTAGCTGCGCGGCTCCTGTGGATACTCATTATATCACGACAAGTGGGCAAATTAGGGCAGGATAACCAATTATTCCACCTTCTGAAGATGGCTGTCTTAGCCTTTTCCCTCTTTAATCGAATCAGCAGTGCCTGAGATTGCCATACAGAGTTGAAGCGGTCATTGGTTAGGCCTGTCATCTCGTTACTTTTTCAGCCTGCTGAATATTGGGTTGTGTGTGGGGCATAGTGAGTGTGGAGAGTGACACATTGCACACTAGATTAGCAGTTTTCTCCGTGCACTTTCTGAAAGGCCATTGTCATATTTGTTTTTTCTGTTTTCTCACTAGAATTTATTTGAACACCTTTGCTTGTTATTTTGTTTGCTCTATGGAATCAACGTTATTTTCTTTCTGCCCTTTGGATTTAGAACGTCATTTTGTTGTTCATCACTGGATTAGATTTTGTTTTTCATTTTTCTCTAAACTATTATTTCATTTTTATCATGATCAGTTTCTCCTATATAGTCCATTCGTAAATTAATGTTACCTATTAAACTCTTGAATCTTATGCCTATTAATGTTAATACTTATTATTTAGTAACTGCTGTGAAACTGATATTTTAATGGTCAAACCTAAACATCTCTCCAATGCTACTGATACTGATATGATTACGATATCATTGTGTATCCTTCGTAGTTACTTGGAGAGTAAGGAATTGAAGTGGTGACCCTTAGGGTTTTAGTATGTAAGGTTGTCCCAATTACTGAATTAAACTCAATCACAGTCAGCCATAATTAATTGACAATTTGCATGATAATGCATATTTTATATTCCCTTATTAGACGCTATCACAGTTAGAAACAGCCAGAAGGCCACATTCAATACAACCTTTTTTGTGCCACATAATGTCTTCATATTTTATTACTGATGTTTTTTGAAGACGTGCCAGTTTATCTTTTTCTGCTGAAGTATTTTAGAATCTTTCTGTGGTTTGTTATTGTCCAGTTAAGTCCATTTGTATTGTTTGGCCTTTTGTAAAGAATGACTAGATTGTTTTCAATTACTTATATAATCATTAATGACAGCCCTATTAACACGTATGCTACTTCTTCTTTATGTGGCCTTTTGGCATGTCTTTATGCTATGTGTTCCTCATTACTGTACTGTATGCAAGTCCCATTCAGCCTAATAGGAATTAATACCCTAAGCAGAGCATTAGTCTCAGATAACCTTTTAGTCTTGGAATTAGTGTTGAATGAAGGATTTGGACAGTGGACATTAGAGATTCTGACAACTCAATATGAATAGCTTTCTTTGTTATAATCAGTGTAAGGCTGGGAAACAGAATCCAACCTTCTGCCAACATTTCATGCAATGATTCATCTCTTCCTTTTTGTGTGTGTGTGTGTGTGTATGTGTGTGTGTGTGTGTGTGTGTGTACGTGCTGGGATAAATGCCTTGTTGATTAATTTTCACTTACCAGTGCTGATCAGTGGTGGTGTCCTAAAGTGGAAGAGAGAGACACTTCATTAACCTATGGTTCACTCTGCTTTTGTTCAGAGGTGCCTGCATTGTTTTCCCTTGACTTTGAGTTATCGCCTCCGCTCTACTTGATCTTCCCTTCACGTAGACTCGCAATTTGAAGAAGTTCAGTGGGGTAGACCCTTATTAAACCGGTCACTGTGCATTGACCCTCGTCAGATCTTCCTCTGAATGAGAAAATCTTAAAATATGTGAGACCATTTTTAAACACTGGTTTCTGTAGTTAGAATTCAGCACAGAGTTGCATAAGAGATGTCTTACTTTGAAATAGGAGGTAAGATGGAAGAAGTGGCTTGTTGTTATTCACTGCGACCTGTCAGGCAGTTTGTACCGTACAGTGCTGTTTAACGAAATCACAACCTAAATAGCTCTGTTCACACAGTCGGAAACTGACAGGCTTACATGTTGTTCTGTTGGCTACTGCAGGTACAGTCTTGCACTGCTGCTGTTTGAAAACCATTGATGCATACGGCTGTTACAAAAGCATTTCAGTTCTTTGTTCCTTATTGTTTCTGATTTGCTCTTGTAGCGTTATTGTTTCTCACTGTGCTTATCAACTCAGTCTTCCCTGTAATTCACTGGAAGACATTAGCGTCGGCTATTGCTGTGGCGCCAGACTGAACCCACAGAGCAGAACACTTGCGGAAGCTTGCAGTTCTCTAAACAGGCAGGCCATGCTAACTCAGGAGACTTCTCAAAAGTTCTGTAGAGCTAATAGGGTATCAGTTAAATGCATTTTTCTAACAGTTAAGCTGACGGGACTGAAATGTTTTTGGGAACAAAAACTCCACTTCTGTTAATTATTCCCTCAAATTTTGTTTCAGGAAAAACATTTGCTCCTGTTTCTCTTCTGAGATGTATCGGCTACTTTATGGCCATTTGCATGGTAAATGCCTCTAGCTGTCCTAATGACAAGATTTCAAGCTACTTTAAGCTAACATCTCACCAGTGACCATTTCAGCAGTTTTGAAACACTAATCATCTGATGTGCTTTGGTGTTTTGTGTATAAATGCTTATTTATCTTTATTTAAGAGCTCTTTTTATTTGTTTGTATCTTAATTTGCAGCAATAGATCTTGAAAGAATCTGAATGTTAGATGATAAATTATCATGGCTTACAGACAGGGAGCTCTTTTTGAAAGACAATGAAGTGTTTTTCCTGCCTTGACTGGCTCAATAAAGCGGCTCACTTTAAAAGGACAGCTCAGTGAATTGAACTATGAAATATTTATAAGAACGGTACGCAGTTTGATGAAAACACAGGGCTGCGAGGTTCGTAAACGTCTGCGGTGGGATTTAGGAGTGCCGGAGCAAATGTTTTGAAGATTGCAGCCAAGAGTGGGCTCCTTCACGTCCTGTGATGTCCAGTCGGATATCATTTAACCCTTCCTGACCAACTCTGCATACTCTTTCCTGTTAACTCCTCTCCTAATGCCCCACCCCCTGTCTGCTTCCTGCTTCCTCTAAACCCCTCCCCCTCTCTGTAACAGACTCCTCCCACCCTCCCGTAACCCTGCTGCTGTTTTGCCCTTTAGGTCTGATGACAGCGACTCCTCTCTGTCGGAGGTGCTCAGGTAGAGATCTTTGTCTGTCATTCTGTTTCCTAGACCGTGTTTGTCAAGGGTGTGACCAATGTTTGAGCATGTTCACTGGCCCCTCCCCTTTCCATTTCTGTTCTGTGTTTGCTGTGAACCCTGGAAGCCCCGAATGAACCTTATGGTCTGATCATGGAAAGCTTCAGTTTGAGTTTCTTCTCCACATCAGGGCCAGTCAGAGTTCTTTATGTAGTGATTCAGCATCCAAAGCAAAAGACATAGTTTGACTGCTGTATATCCTGCTAATTTCAAGAGCTCTTGCTATCTTATCACAATGTTACTGGCACGTAAGGTTGGCTATGGACCTGTGAATCACAGTTGACTCACTATAGAAGTGCTGGGCAATATATCATCTATGGTGTGTTTGTGTAGGTTTGATTCAACGGTATACTTTTTTTAGTTGTAGCAGCATTATTCAATAAATAAGAAACTTGTAACCTCAATCTGTCATTTCTAGTGCTTCGCATTGTTTAAAAGAACAGTTCTAAGTACGTAAAAACTAAATGAATAGAACGTTTCCTTTCTGGAAATCTAAATTCTGTCTGGTTAACATTTACAATATTGTATAAGGTTCCCATTTTTGTCATTTTAAGAGGAGAAAACAGAACAGAGCAGTCAACAACAAGCTATGTAAAGACAGTCTTTTATTATAGAGTAGTACTATTCAGGAAGCATAGGTTAGTTAAACCTTTCATGGAAATGTAAAAATCATCTAATACTGTGATAATATGGTGTTTTGTGGTAAATGTCCTGATGTTGAGCTTTAGCAATACTGCCCAGCACTATGTAGTTGGTGAAAAAGTGAGCTAACAGTAACGTTTTGTTCTAACATTAATCTAGTAGGAGCAAATCTTATTGGAACATAGTTTATTGAGCTGCAGCTTGTGGAGCAGTCTTGTAAAAACATATTTTTTCTTTTTAGCACACATACCACTGTGTCTGCTGCTTGTCTTCCATTAGCATGAGTTAATAGCATATTTTAGGCCGTTTTAACCCTTAAATAATAAAAATGTTAGCTGCAGGAATTTGTTGTTTCTTTGAGTCTTGGTTGGGGAGATGCCTAAAAATTGGCACTGTTGAAGCCTGCAGGCTGCGCCTCATGTGCCACTCAATTCTCTTTACCTTATCTAATAGAGCCTGTAGTGCCATTTCTCAGCACCTCTCATAGCCCCCATTATCCTGACACTGCGATTGCATTTTTCTTGCTTCTGTCAAGAATCTCTCTTGTTATCCCATTACAAACTAATGGCACTGTGATGGAACATGGTGAGTGTGGAATAACTCGCTTCTGTCGTTTTCTCCCCACCAAGACTGCTTAAGCAGAGCTGTAGGCAAGCACACATAGCTTGTAACCTGCTATTCACAGCAAACAACAAAGTGCAGTAATAATTGATCTCATTAAGAAGCACCATGTGAGATCCTAGCCATCCGCTAACTTGTCTAATCTTGTGCCAGTACACCAGAAAGCCTCCCCCCCTCATCCCAGATCCTCTTTGATTAGCCCAAGGCTGGCCCTAGTGGTCTGAAAGGCTTTTGATTCATTAGACAGCAGCGTTCCTGCCTAAATCCCATTGTGGCAGTGGTCTGATAAGGTTCATTCACACCAAAATCCCTCCCCCTGGTTATCCACTGAGTGTGTTTTGCTTCATCACACATCCTCACCCTCCTCATCATCTCTGGAAATGAAGAATGTTCCGCTGTCCCTTGTTCCTGACCCCGCAGATGGGTCCGAAACCATGAGCTCACTCTGCATTGACTTGAAGTGCTGCATGTAGATTTGATTTGAAAACCTCATTGCTTTTATTTGGGCTTTTTATGTGCTGTGTATTTGATGCATTATTTGCTGCACTTTTGTGGATTTGTTTAGTTTTGGTTCAGATTTTTAGGATGACAGTACTTGCATGTGGAGTTTTTACATCTGTGTATATGTGTGCGTGTGCTTGAGAAGATTTTTGGCAGTGAAACTCACATGTTTTGCTCAGCATGGCTCTATGCCTGGGTTGAGTCTGATTGGGGGTTGTGGGTGTTGCTGTATGAGTGATTTGGAGAGCAGCAAGGACTGAAGAGACACTGCATGAATTACTCTCAGCTTCGCTGTTATTACTCACCTGCAGAGTCAGATGAGCTGATCAGCCATTACTGGCCCACAGCTATTCTATCGAGTTAACACAGAACTCGAGCAATGTGTTCTTGCAGGAAGTTACATCAACGCTGTTTCTCCAACAGGAATCATATTGTTATTTGAAACACTGTAGAAGGGTATTTTATAAAAGCTGTGTCCAATGCCTAATGCCCAGCACCTGCTCTACTTCAGCTCACCCATAAAAAAATAAGATTTTGCTAGAGATTGAACGGTCAGTGTTTTTGGGGCCGATACCGAATGCTGGTCGCCTTTCAGCGCGATTGGTTAGCCTATACCAGTCAAGGGCGGGGCTGGATGCCACACTTAAAGGCGCAGAAGCGATTCTCAACAACAAAACAAATACACCCCTCTCTTCAGTGCTCCATCAAAAGCTCTACCATAGAAATTCATTGACATGCATTGCCAAGGCAAACAACACTTTCTTCGTGGCTATAAAACCCTTCACAAACATTGTACATGCAAATGTCATAAAATAACATTTTATATTATGAACAATGTAACTAACAATGTAAGCTAACCACAAACATTAGCAAACGGGACAAAACAGTGCTGACCAATTCTGTGAAACAGTAAAAAAAAGTTAATGTTGTCAACCTGCCAATCAGTAACAGAGAAACATCCTTATCCCTTTCGAGCCTTTCACTTCTCCACCTTAAATAGTGCAGCACTTACATTTTGGTGCCTCATGCTAGCATAACCGTTGAAATATCTGGAGCCTATGCAACTGGCCTGGCTCACAGAACATCAGTTTTTGGAACTTGGGCATATACTGACGCCACAAAATCTTAAATTTACATTTACAATTTTGTTCAATATGGTTCTTATTAGAAGTGAAAGAACATCGAGAATAATATGCCATTGTTAATCTACAAAAAGGTTTAGCCTACTTCCATCCATACTTCCTGCATCCAAAATGGTTTAATTTGAAAAAAAAAAAAAAAACATAAATACACTATAACATGATTTATACAGAAACCATCAATAATCTTAACAATGCCATGATATAAATTTTTGCCCATGCTGCCTGCTGCTAGTGCACACCCTTAGTTTTGTCAAAGTTATTTGACCTTTGAAATCCTAATGAATGCGATCTTGCAAAACACATGAAGCTTGTCCTAGGTCAGCATTCTTAACTCTGAACTGCTCTTGTTAAAAGTGAATGCAAAATGTAGTGAACAACACTTGCAGTCATCCTCATCAGCAACTCATACCCGCCTGCTTCAAAAGCACCCCAGTACACAGAGCAGCTTGTGACTGCTCCCCCACCAGCCTCCTCTTCCAACCTCTCTACAACGAAGGCCACCCTGTCCCAGTTTCCCCTTTAATCAGCCATCCTCCTGTCACCTCTGTGCAACTGAGCCCGAATTATAAGGAGTGGGGAGCAGCCGAGCCGGACTTTTGTCCACTGGAGACCAATTTTGCCTTCCTCTCTGAAACTCCCGCTCCGTCTTCGTCTCACTCGGACGACTAGTCGGAGAGAGAGTGTCCCGCGCCTAGGCTTGCCGGGAACGCTGCCAGCCCAGAGGGGAGATCCTCATTATTTTGCAGAGGGGAAGGAAGGATTGTTTAACTCTGCCAGCTTGCTGATGGATTTCTTGGAATAATGTGGGCTAATTGGCAGAGAAAACTATAGGAGGAGGGATGCAAAGACTTTGGACCAGGAAAGCTTTGACAATAAAACTGCTCCAACAGTGAGTGTTTGAAGAGAGGTTCTTTGTGGGTTTTTAATGTGTGAAACACCTCATAAATCCACTCACTTGCTCATGCTTAGCTGATTCACATGTGTATGCTCCAAGATTAGGTTTGCCACCCACTGAATGATATGATACGCTACTGGAAGCAGTACTTTCAGCCTTAAGCCTGTTTGACTTTTTGCTATGTTGAACTGGTGCAGAGGCCTCCTACAAACATTAATCTTTACCATACATCCAAGCCAAGAACCATTTGTGATCCTTTTTATTTTTTTATTTATTTTTTGTTTTTTAAAGAGTATAGCTGGATGTGTGTGGCACCAGGAATGCTATGGTAGAACATCTGTAGCTTCTTTTCAACTGAAGGACTGAACATGGAGAGTCTGAGCATGGAGAGTAGCCATTCTATTGCCTTTTCCACCTGGACTTAGTTTGGCACAGAATGCTTACCAGAAGCACAGATAACTAACTGCTCAGTGCAGCAGAATCTGTTTTTCGCTGTCCCACTGTAATTCATGTCATTTTTCTTTGGAAACCTCCTAGTCTTGATTTAGCATCACAACAGATGGATAACAAAAGTATAACCACTAACCATAACAACCGTAACAGCATGAAGTAGCCATGGTAAGCATTAGGGCGGAATGATTTTGGGAAGTTATCTAATTGCATTTTTTCTGACCGATTTTCTGATTGCGAATTAAATTGTGATTATTTTATATAAATTAAGTTTCAGACCATGAAGAGAAGCATATCTATTTTTTCTAGCTTGAGGCACTAACACTGAACATAGTGTGCAAGACGGCCAGGTTGTTGTCAGAAGAAAAACCCATGGCTAACTCATCTACAGTGAGTTTATAAGTTGTATGTTATTATGTTAAATTTCACCACATAAAACTTGCTGATACAACACTGTTGATCATGTAGGCTACGGTGACAAATGTTGACTATTAAGGCTAGCCCTTCATTTCGAACCATAAGTGTCAACACTCAGTCAAAACATGAGGAAAAATCCCACCTGTCTGATAATGTTAATTTTTGCCAACATCCCTATGAAATTCTAGTTGTTTGTTAGCACTAAACTAACAGCAGTTCACATGAAAATTGTTTTAGCCATTCTAAATTACACACAGACGTTTAAAGGTTCTAAATGACATTCCTTAATTTACTTGAAGCTTACATACATATTAGCATATGCTGTCGCTGTGTTTCATTTCTAACAACCCATTAGTTAGATTTACGTTCGTATTCACATTCACCGATGTATCCGGGACTTCCAGAAGGCCTACTGTGATGTTTTTATCTCACAAAGTTGGTCCCGTCTATTGGAAATCAAAACATAATTGGTTGATTGCTTGCAATTAAAAAATACAGCCTATAAAATTGCAATTTTGATGTATAAATGATGAATCTTTCAGCCCTGGTAAGCATTCTATCCAGCAGTGGAAAAGAAACAATACACAGACTACCTTTGTGATCTTTCTTTTCCAATCTCCTCTCATAGCATTATGGTTAACACTGGTTTTGAAGTTATAAATGATTCCTCCTTTTTGCCATGAGGGGACGTTTGGTCCCTCTGGATGGAGAGAAGTACTCCCTGAGAGACTTTCTCACGCAGTTCTGGGGCAGTTTGTAGAGACAGAAACCGCTCCTCTGCGATTCAGACAACAAATGTGTTGAACAGTTTCTCCATGATGGAGCCTCTTATTTTGCCTGTGGCTCAAGTTCGTCAGTACTCTGCTCAGAAACTTGGACTGCCAGCTGTCACGGAGCATTATGTCCTCTCAGAGCACTCTCTCGGACGCTTTTGAGACAGATGTGGAGATTTAGGTTATAGCCAACTCAGAAGCTCGCCAGTGCTATTCTGGGGCAAGACGGTAGGAAGAGCGGCTGGCGGTAGCATCTACGCTCCTCGCACTTTGATGCGAGTGGGCATGACAGGTGTCATGTGACGTTCATGCTAATTCTGTCATCCCTGTGACAGAGCGCAAGGCGGCGACATCATAGGTCACTTTCTCTAAAATGGAGGCAAGGAACCCTCACTGCCTCTTATCAGACTTCCTTGCGTCTTTTCAGCCATAGAATAGCGCCATTACATCATATGAAAATTCTTTAAAACATGAAAAGGGTCTTCATACTTAGAGTTAAAATAGTTTACAAAAAAAGTTTTTCGGTCTACATCACATACTTTTACCACATGCACAGGCTTAAAAAGAAGACTTTTAAATGGAAAATCAACATTATACTGATGGAAATATGTTGACAGTAGTAAATAATTCACTTACATCTTTGGAAAACACGTTCTTCATGTCCTTCAGAATGCAGTTTTGATCGATTTCTCATCAAATACTTTTTCGACTGGCTCCAGGTCCACAGATTCATCTGCTCGAGAAGGAGTCAGAAGCAGAACTTGCATTACAAAATGTTCTTTCATGCATTTTCTCCAGTGAGGTCTCCAAATCCCCAAATCTTCCACAGGGTAGCTTTAAGCAACCATCCATTAAAGTGGTTCTTCTGTGGCATCGCTCCAAAGAACGCTTTTTAGCAACTTTATTTTTTAAAAGGTAGGACCTGCAATCAGGCTCTAAACTCACAGCAATGCAGTATGAAGCCATGTGATAGTCACCATGTGAGGCTCAGCAGATTTGAGGTGTCTTTTGGGAGCTGCCAGAGAGACTCTGCAGTGCCTAATTGGAAGGGGATCTTTCTGAAGTTAAGCTTACGACGAAGAGAGAGCGGTGCCAGGCTCCAGCAAACCTCCTTTTGAACATTTTATGGGGATCTAAATAAATAAATAAGTCTTTAAAAGCCTCATACTGCTTCTTGTCCTCAGATGCTTGTTACTTCTTTCCCCTCTCTATCACTAAAGGAGCACAAGAGCTTCCACAGATAACCTACAGTCACATTCGCTTCTCAGCATACACACACAATATGTGCACATAGACACACTTTCTCTATCTCCGCCACCCAGACACATGGCTCCGGACTCAGTCGGCTATAACAAATGCGCATATAAACATTTATTTCATAATCCCTTAAACTAATATTCTCAGCCAAGAGATTTTCTCACAGATACTCAGTGTCATCTGCTCGCATTAGCTTAATATTGAATCGGGAAACGCTGCCAGGATTCTCAACATCACCATCAGTCATGATCTCTGGCAATGGCTTAGAGAAGATCCACCTCATATCTTAGCTATGACTGGATATACAAAGCTACACGCAAACCCTGGCCAGTAGCCCAGATCCGCTGATGCTTTATTGACTGTAAAAGTTGTCATTTCTGCCTGCAGGAGTTTACTTTAGTATATTGTTCTAACTTTTGATTTTTTGAGGTAGAATTCCCATCTGCGCTACCTACACATCCTCTTCCACGGATCTCCCTCATGCTGTTTAGAGAAACAGCACAGCAGGCCTTAATAAGGACCTGCCCCAGATATGAAGCCACTTCCATTGTTTTGGTCGACTTTTATCTGTCGCACAACTTGATGGAGGTATCCAGGGTGATGTGCAGCCCAGACACTGCAGATTACAGAAAGTGGGCCTGGTGTGGAGACACAATTCGCTACTACGGTTTGAAGAAGCTGAATAAGGAGCACAGTACTGATAATTAACTGCGCAGAGGAGGAAAATGGAGCATGGAGGAGGCAGAAGAGGAGGCGTGGAGGCAGTGGGGCTATGGAAAAGCTGATGGAGAAAGACAATGATGGTCAGCGGTGTGTGGCTGATGGTGATCATTGTAATGTCGACAGGAACAACACAGACACACTCAAGCACGTACTTAAGCCTGTTTCGCACTGACTACTTCTGCATGACGTGAGCGATGTGGCAGCGTGAATGCTAGCGCTTGCACATGTTGCACATTCACACATACAGAGTTTGTGCTGTGGAGTGGTGCATGAAAAACGTTCTGTAGACATTCTTTTACTGTCTTTCCTCAAAAAAGAAATATAATCTGTTAAAGAGCATGATAGCGTTTACCCTCGGAGGCTCTGACTGGGCAATTATTTCAAGCCCAGTAGAGCTACTAGGAAATGTGTGTGCAGCATGAAATGTTTAGCTAGTGTTTTTGTGCAACAGTTGTCATGAATTGTAGAATTTGGGTTGTTTCTGTTCCCCTTTCGTTGGTTGTCTTAGTTTATTTTAATGTATTTTGCTGCATGGCAAAAAATAGGCTCAGCAGCTATTTTCTAAATGCCATGCCACTCCTGGGATGCACTGCCACTCTGCTTGCACAGTCTGTGTGAACGCTCTGACCTGTTCAGAGCGGCAGAATGAAAAGCAAGACATTCCACATCGATCACGCCACACAGAGGTACTATGTGTGAAACAGACCTTAAAAAAGCAGTGCCTTGAGGGGCAGCATTTTGGCAAGCACTATACTTGTCAACAATCTCGACTAATAATATTATTTTTGTGTTGAGACAGTGATTGGCAACTTTGCTGTTTAATTATGTGCGAATATTTATCAGTGCAGAAGAAGCCTCCCTTGATTGAGGCTCAGATGCAAGCAAACATCATCCAAGAGTTATTTCACAAAAATTTTAAAGTTTGAGATCGTTGCAAGATCGTTCTACCGAATTGGTTGGCTGTTTGGCTGATGATTTTACCTTATTTTGAGCAGAACTCAAAAATACTAGCCAGTACATGATTAGCAAACACAGCTTTGAACAGTTGTACACAAATAAAATCATAATATTTTTCATAAACATACACAAATGGATACTTAATTGCAGAAAATATGTGTTTCAGTTCATTTCCTTCAAAACAATAGGATCTATCTGCTCACCATGCGCCGGGTCTTAGTTCCTGCTCTAAATTGCAAGGGTGTGGCTAAAATACGGCTCTGCCTATGGACTAAAACTCGTTGTGTTTCGGCATTTTTTGAAAAAAAAGAAAAACATTGAAATAATTCGAAGGTATAATTTGAATTAAGTTCAGCGTTTTAAATATGAATGATGATATGATCTAATTAAAAAAGAATGTCATCCTCACCACACAAACATACTGTCAGTGCAGTTTTGAATACACGTGTGTGTCTCATGCAGGGGGGTGATCAGTCCCATAGCCGGACTGAAGGGGGGCAGGACAGCTCCTCTGCAGTGTGTGGCTATGGCCGAGGGACACTCTAAGCCTGTGCTGTGCCTGGACGCCACTGATGAGCTGCTTTTCACTGGATCCAAAGGTACACACACACGCACACACTTGCATGCACCCACTCTTACAACTAATGAGTCATTTCTCGCTATTCACCCATTACTTATTACCCACTTGTATTATACCTGAGTACTTCAGCTTGACCTGAATATGAGTGCATGAACACACATCACACACACAGCTACATAATATATGAGTCAATTTGGTTTGCATTCTCAGTGTGTTCTGGGGTCACACTTATGATTGCTTACTGAGCCACTGAACAGGCTCTTATTGTGCACAGGCTACCTAAGGTGAAAAAAGACCAACTGAACATCCTGACTTTTTGACTATTTTCCAGCCACTTTTTACCCAGAGCAAAAAATTAACCAATTACATCAAAACCATTATTGTATGTTATATAGCTGGATCACAGCCATTATTGTATATCAAAGTCATTATTGTATATTTCCGTAACAGTCATTGGATATTCCAGGCCCTGTCAGGCTGTCACCTGCTGTACAATAAATGTTCTAGGAACTGGAAGTACCTGCCTCAGGGTAGCCAGGGGTGACTTGTATTCTGTCCCCCACTCTCAGTGTCCTAGTGCTATTAATGGGATCCAGCAGCATTACGGCAGCCCATTCCCTTAATAAGGTCTGATGGTGAATACAAGTAGCTGGGTTATAAACCATGTGGGGTAGAGGGCTACATTAGTGCTTGTTAACTACGGGCCTACTTGGTCTGTTAATCTTAGCATGATTACCCAGGTGAGCTTAAAAGGTGTTACTGATGTTCCAGACCTATAAAAGGACAATGTGAATGGAGAGAGAAAGTAGGAGTCCTAAAGAAAGAAGCTAGCCCTTTTCCCAAAATATGTGGCTCTTCAAATTAAATTACATTTCAAATTTTATTATACTTTTAGTGAAGTTTTTTTTATGTAATTGAATTATTTAATGTAAATTAATTGATTTTGGGGGAGTGGCTGTTGACTAAATAATTGGATTTATTTGTGTTCTGTTGTTTTGTATGTATTTATCTATCATTTATTTATTTATAATTTTGTTCTTATCTCTTTTGTGTGCTCAGATCGCACCTGTAAGATGTGGAACCTGGTGACAGGGCAGGAGATAGTCACGCTGAGGGGACACCCCAACAACGTGGTGTCTGTCAAATACTGCAGCAGCTCCGGCCTAGTCTTCACCGTCTCCACTTCTTACATCAAAGTGTGGGACATCCGTGACTCAGCCAAGTGTGTGCGCACCTTCACGTGAGTGTCTCTTCACAGCTCACTTCAATCCAGCCCTTATCAACATGAAATGCTCACAAGTGAATGATAATCAAAGGAAGTTATAATGGGTGAATGATAACCAAGAGTGAAGAGGCAAAATGTCTAAAATTGTTAAGTATAACCCTAAAAACAAGCTTATTTCCATTTTAAATCTGTACTTAAATTGAATCTGTACTTAAAACCAGACTTTTTTTTAATAGGGCTGCAAGAATGTGTCATTGCACAATGATTCTCTGGCTATTTTCAAATATAAAATAAAATAAAAAAGCTTGGTATATTTTTGGTATATTGTCTAAATCCCGCTACTGTGTAAAATATTTCTTTTGGATCATATTAGAATAATCTAAATTTGAGCATTTGATGCTTTAAATAATTTCCTAAAGAACTATTATTTATACTCCCACTTAGCAAATCTGAGCTTCATGCGCTGATCACCATTTTCCTTCTTAACATCTGGTTGCTTGACTTTTGACTGCAGTTCCTCGGGTCAAGTGGTGTCAGGAGACGCCTGCGCGGGCACCACCACCCGCACTATCACTACGGCCCAGGGTGAGTACCAGATCAACCAGATCGCCCTGAACCCCGCTGGCTCTGTGCTCTATGCTGCAGCAGGCAACACAGTGAGGACCTGGGACTTGAACAGGTACAGGAGTCCCTGCTCTATTTGCTTCCCTTAATCTTAAAATGCTTACATTTCCAGTGATGGAGGGATCAGCTAGCATGGGCTTATTTGTATAGTAAGAACTATTAATATTTTGTGTATTATTAGCTATGTTAGCATTTTGAAATGAGTACTCTTAGATGACATGTTATGCTATGTTTTCCATAACAACAACATGAAAGAGGGCAGTGAATCTTTTAAATAGCAATATACTGAGGCATTATGCATACAATGTGCATCTAACTACCACTTAGTGTATATAAAGTAAGTGTATCAGTAGCTGTAAGATTCAGTTAGAAGTACTATCAACTTGATTGCGAATATTAATAACATCTCAATGATACTGCAGATATATGACTTGATTGTTAGGCAAAGTTAGATTAGAAAAATATGAGACCGTATATAGAAATGTTTAACAGTTCTGCCTGATCAGGACTGCGTGGTTGCTTTCACAGCGCATGTTGATTAGCAATGTAAACAACTAGGCCTATACGACAGCAGACACTCCAGTCTGCACTGACACCCAGCATCTTTTGTAGCTTTTTTTCTGGCTTTTAGTCTGTAGTCACGTTCAACTGGGAGTGACAAGAGAAAGGAGTTATTAATAAAATGAAATAAGTTGGAAATATAGTTTACAAGATGATCAAAATTCAAGTTAGCTTGCTTGCTCAGTGGTAGCTGCTCAGACTCAACTCAACAGATGGTTTGTGTGTGGTAGGAATATGGCAAGGCCAGCATAGTCCCACCAACAGAAGAAACACAAAAGTGAAACAGTCTCGCAATTGAAATGATAAACATTGTTCTTTATTTGACAGATGATTAAATTCCTGCAGGACTCCGCCAAAATTTATCAAAAAGTCATTGAGATGTAAACAAAGTCATTCAGAAACTTACTGACTCTGATGTTTTTATAGTGGTGGAGCCAGTGTTCTGATGTCTACAACACAAATATAGTCATTTTATATTAATATCCAAAACCACCACTGAACCCGCAAGTCCTGTCTGAGCTCATATGTAATGTTGATAATGGTGAAATAGTGGGAAATCTTTTAAAAAAAAAAAATCCTTTGGTGACTCTTTTGCTTCTCTGGATTTAAAAAACATATGTTTTAGCCCAAAAACTATTGTCAAACAATATCTCAGGCATCAGGCAGTGTATTCATAAGCATTTCATATAATAGCTTTCTGTGAGGTAGCATTAAGAAGCATTTGGATGTCTGGTTCCTATCACCACTGCTGTGAACAGTTCTAACTTTCTCTAGAATGGCACGCTTCACATCAAACCATAATAGTAAAGTAGTACATGCTCGCTAAGCTGTGCTAGCAAAGCAGCAAATGACAAGCTACAAAATACACTTTGTGTTATTGTCTTTTTTGAAGAACACAGTTTATAGCTTAACAGTTTAATTATGCAGAAAAGTCCCTTTAAAGCAATACTGCAGTATTGTTCCCTCTAATCTCTGTCTGCCACATCCGTATCAAATAGTTGATTACTACAGACAATACTTTTGCTGTATTTGGGTCAGAACAGAACAGAAAACCCCAGAAAACACACTCGCAATAGACGGCTATGGACAGTTGCTGAAGCCTGAAGGTGGGAAGATAGTTATTGAGTGTGCATTTTTAAGCTGAGGCTAATAAATCTCTGCTTTTTGTGCAGGATGCTGGCCACTGGGAAGCTGACAGGCCACATTGGCTCAGTCATGTGTCTAACAGTAGGCTATTCTGGTGGTGGCAAAGACCAGGTCATCACCGGCTCTAAAGACCATTATGTGAAGGTACTTCTTTTCTCTGCTCCTTATTTGTTCAGAATATTTGTTATCCGTCTTGTCTTGTCTGTTTTTTCACATATCCCACAGCCCACGCGGGAAACAATGCATAGAAAGTCAATACTGGTTTCCATTTTCACACGTCTGGCCGTCGCTGTGCTTGAAAACAATACAATGTGTTTGTTGTAAGAAGCAGTCTGGCTCAGTAGGCCTGCTGTGACTGATCAGCTGTTTTATTGCTGGGACACTGCAGTGTGTGTAAGCTGACTGTGCTGTTGGGACGTTTGTACAGGTGTTTGACGTGGCAGAGGGTGCTCAGGGGAACATTGGCCCCGCCCACAACTTTGAGCCTCCTCACTATGACGGCATTGAGTGCCTGGCCGTCCACGGTGATGTTCTCTTTAGTGGCTCCCGTGACAATGGCATTAAGAAGTGGGATCTGGAGCAGCAGGAACTGATTCAGGTACGGTTGTGTTAGTGCCATGGCTGAGTAAACATTAGTTTTTTTTAGAAATTTTCATCTCTGAACATTTTAATTATCTGAAAAAAGCTAAGTTGTTTTGTTGTGCTCTTTTCTGCAATATTGCTAATTTGGATTTACAAGAATACTAAGTGATGACTGTTTCTCATGCCAATGTATGTGTATATTGTGGTACGACATTATTGCTATTAGATCAGAACCTTGTTTTTTTTCTATGTTTATACATTTTTATGTCCTTTGAGCACCAGCTGTCCTTGTGAAACTTTCCTGATGAATAGACCAATAGAAATGGTCCAAAATCCTGTTTACGTATTAACGTAGTTCATTTTTTTTAGGTTTTTCCCTTTTCCTGAAAATTTATCACTTTGGAGATAAAAGGTTTAGTTCCGACAGTGCTGCTATATTACTTGTGCTAACTTTACAACACCTTGCAGTAATTTGATTGTAAGTGAGCACTTGTAGCAATAAGTATAAAGTTTAATTTATATAAAGTCTTTATACTTTTTTAATGGGCATGACAGAATGCCCAGTTAAAAACAACACTGACAGAGGTTTGAGTGATTGTCTGTGCATGCAAAACAAAACTCTTCACTATTTAGTTTGGACTCTTTAGCAGAAGTAAGGCAGCTGGCTCATGAAAACTGTCTATACTTCACAGCTTCTTGATTGACAGGGACTAAATTGAATTCAGTGTCCGATAAAGTATTAGTACACTTTTTTTGGCTTCTTAGAAACCAATTATGCTGTATAGGTAATATTCCGTCCATTGTTACGTTGCTGTCAATTGAAGTAGAGGTGGAATTGCTTCATTTATCACCTGTAGTGACACTGGTGGAGGTGGTTTGACAGCTGGGAGATTTCTTACTAATGACTGGGCTTTGAATGGTTCCTTAAGCTTCAAGCCAATCATCCACTTACAGTATTAGGCAGCTAGATGTACCTTGCTTTTCTGGAGCCTGAAAAGAGCAGAAATAATTGCCGATTATTACATGGTGGAATGAAGACTGCGGTGTCGAAAATCAGCCACCCACCTGTCAAGGGAAATCTGAGTTGTCTAATTCAGAAGAGCTTTGGAGCAACATTAGCTGCTTATGCTGGAGAGATGAGAACAATAGGGGAATGTATGTCAGTGGTAGGAGGTTTATCACTTCATTTGCATTTATTTTTTAAGCTTCGACAAGCAAATATTTTATGCGTTTTCAGCAGATTTTGACTGAGGTTAACAAAAAAAACAGCGACTGTCAGTCGGTTTTGCGTGTTTTAGTTAATAGGTTCACAGTATGGTCAGTACATGAAAATCTCAAACTTCGTCATTTAAATTTAATTGCTTTGTATTATTTGCGTTCACGCTTCAGGAAGCCATACAGCATGTGGGAGTCCATTATGCATTAAGGCAGTGAAGAAGAGTGGACAGATATACAATGACATGGTCGACAGCCCAAATGTCAGTATCTGATGAGTTGAAAATGAGACTAGCTGCTAGTTTTGCTGTGTGATCTAGATAACTAGAACTTGAGTTTGGGAAGTGGCTATTCACAGAGACCTTCATTGAACCAGCTATTTATATTCAACACAGTAATATAAACATGCTTACATAGTATGAAACTGTCTGTGTGTCTTTAAATAAGAAAACTGTCAATGTGTCTTTAAATAAGATGTATTATAATTAACCCTTTCATTTCAGAGATAAAAGCAGCTCTTTCTTCCTTTTAATCTACTGTTCTCCTTCAATAAACATGATTTCTCAGTGCTGTTGACATATTGACAGCATTTACAGTTGTATGCAAAAAATTTGGTGCTCTTGGTCAAATCACATGTTGATTTTCTAAGTGAAAATAAGTTCACACATCCTTTACAGAGAACATTTTAATGCACAAATACTGTTTATTTTTTGGATTTAACATTTTAGAAAAATATTAAACATAAAGTGAGGTTTATAAAAGTTATGGCATGTTTTATATTTTATAAAATTTATTTTAGTTTTTCCAGCATGTTAAATTCAGCAAATTAATAGAAATTGTACACTAAAATCTGCTGAAAAAATGGCATATTTAAGTTTGTTCCCTGTAGAGGACGTGTTAACTTATTTTCACTTGAATGAAACGTCATTTGACTTGTGCTGCTCAACATTTTGCATACAACTGTATATAAAATATGTAGATTTTTGTTTGCTTTCTTGTCATATGAATAGAAGTTTACTTCATACTTTAGTCACCCTTTTAGGGTTAACCTGATGATACAAACCAAAAATAAACATTTCTATGATCTAAATTGCAGTCTGAATATATGCGCACACTTGCTCAGTACATCCAACAAGAAAGACTACATGGTGCTTCTTTTATATAGTGATAGAAAACATATTAGTGCACAGAAAGCACACATTCTTCATGATGATCATATAACTATACCAATGCACACTCGTAATTACTCTGGAAGGGACAAATTTTAATGAGGTAATGAAGACAGAGTTGAAATCTTTGAACGTACCACTGATGATGCATTAGATGAGATAGGGTTAAACTCATTTTTCCATCTTTTTGACTGAATGATGGCTAGTGGCATGTTTTCTCCCTTATGGTCTGTTGAACCTCTTTGGCACTGTTAACGTTGTTCATGCGGCGTGCTTGTGCTACCTGCCTCTCACGCTTTGCTTATGTGTCTAGGTAAATTTTCTGAGCTAAAGTGATTCGGGCTTTGGGCTTTTATGAGGATGCTTGGTTAACATCCTGCACACCTCTGGAGGATCTGTGACTGTGCTGGTCTATGTTTCTCTCCTTTTATAGCTGATTGGATTATTGAATGTCCTGAAAGCAAAGATGAGAGTGAGGCGTCTGTTAACGTTCAGTATTGTTCCTAAGGTTGCACTGTTAGGGCTATAACGATCACTGTGGTGGTGGGCACGTCACAGCCATAAATGTGTACATTTTCATTGTTTCCTTTTTTGTTATCATGAGAGCAGTGCTATGTGCTTAGTGCATTTCAATCCAGAAATAAGAACCATGGTGTTTCCATGCTATACCACTGCCACGTGCATAAGCAGCAGTAGCGGGCAAGTGCATACAAAGTGCAGTTTTAAGCTTTGAAAAATGTTCCATTTTGCCACAATTTCCATTTTTATGCTGTGGTATAAAACAAGCTTGCATTAGTCTTTTTTGCATTTGTGCTGCTGGTATTGCTTTTGTTATATTCAGCAATTGATAGCATGCAGTAGCCTAGCCAGAGTTTAAATAAGAGATATAGGCCTTTTATTTTGATGTATTGATGCAATTCTGTAGAAGAAGCACTTTTGTTTCTCTAAAGAACCTTACAATTGATAGTTCTTAAAAGAACCACTTTTGTACATTAGCCTCCACATAACGTAATGTTCTATACCAAAGCATTGTACAGGCTAAGTTAAGCATATTTTAGACTTTTGAGGTTAGCAGTTAAACTTGTGTGATCAAACTCAGAGATTCTTGAGCTTTCATATAAATTACAAGCCTGTGTTCACTGACCGATATAACAATGCAAATATTACTAATAATCAATTTAAATGCTTATTAGTAAACAGCAGTTTTATGCATTGAACTGGACAAATGTCATTCTTAAAACCAAATTTTCTTTGTCTCCATCAGCAAATCCCAAATGCGCATAAGGACTGGGTGTGCGCGCTGGCATACGTACCTGGGCGGCCCATGCTGCTAAGCGCCTGCCGTGGGGGCATGCTTAAGGTGTGGAATGTGGACAACTTTACCCCTATTGGAGAGATCAAAGGTCACGACAGCCCCATCAATGCCATCTGCACCAACTCCAAACAAATCTTCACTGCCTCCAGGTACATATCACATTTTCCAGTTTATACCTGAAAACAGCAATTTGGTGAGGAAAGGGCAAGTTCTAGTTGGGGGAGAGGTTTAAATTGTACTGTTGAGGGATGGAAAAACTGTAATTTTGCAGGACGTTTGTGGTGGACAGGGCTATTTAGTAACGAAACGTTGAAAAAAGGATGTTCAGCTCTGAATAAGTTCTCGTGTGGCACTTTATTCTTCACAAAGCCTACTTTAGACAGCTGTTCTCGGTCTGTAATCACTGGTGTTTTTCTTAATCTTTTGCTCCAGACAGTAGACTACTTAAGACCAGCCTATTAATTTTACAGGGCTACTGCTGCATAATTTTTGGGTCATTGTCTGCAGTGCTGAGTTTGAATAAGAGGAAGTGAAGTCTTCTTCTCACTGATCGTTGCGTAAGCAGGCGTGGGTTTCTCAGTGTGTCTGCACCATCTTCACTAACCTGCACTAACGCTGCTGTCCTGTGTCTTCAACACTGTTTTCCTTCTGTTCCTTTTCTTTCTTTCTCTTTCTCACTCCTCCCTTTCTCTGTCTCTTGAAACTGCTCCGTCACTTTCTCTCTTCTTTCCCTCCTTTTCTCCATCTCATGAACATTCTTTTTTGTTCTCTCTTTGAAATGCTTTTCTTCTGTTTGCTTTCTTTCTTTCTTTCTTTCTTTCTTTCTTTTTCCTACCCCTCTTTCTCTGTCTCTTGAACCCTATCTCTCTCTTTCTTTCTTCTTTCCCTCCTTCATGAACATAAAACATTCTTTTTTGTTCTCTCTCTGAAATGCTTTTCTTTTATTTGCTTGCTTTTGTTTGCTTGTTTCTTTCTTTCTTTCTTTCTTTCTTTCCTTCTTTCTTCTGTTCCCTCTTTCCCTCATGTCCGTTTCACTCTTATCTCTTATTTCTTGGACATGCTTGTTTTCTTCTTTCCTTTGTTTGCTTGTTTATGTTTCACTCTCTCTCTCTCTCCCTCTCTCTCCTTTTCTCTATGTCTTTCTTTTTCCCTTTCCCCTTCTTCCTCTATCTATTGGACATGCTTGTATTTTTCTTTCCTTTGTTTGCTTGTTTTTGTTTATTTGTTTTGTTTATTTCTTTCTTTCTTTCTTTCTGTCCTTTTTTTGTTCTTATTTTATCTCTTCCTCTCTCTTGTCTCTCCCTCTCCCTGTTCTGTGTCTATGTTGTGGTGTGAGTAGTGACTGTAGGGTGAAGTTGTGGAGTTATGTCCCAGGGTTAACACCCTGTCTGCCCCGCCGGGTGCTGGCCATCAAGGGCCGAGCCACCAGCCTCCCCTGAGAGCCTCCACTAACACCTCCTGCCTCTGCTGCCCTCTGGTACTGCCTTTTCTCGTTCTCAGTGTCTGCCCCATTCTGCATCTAAAGCTGTAACTCTAAAACCCCGAGCTGGATTACTTTTATCAGGGGAAGTTCTATAAAGTAGCTAAATTTTTAAGGGATTTTAACCTGACAATTTGTGCAGGTTAAAGTTTCTGTGTAATTTCCCCAAATTACCACAGATAGCCAGGACTGAAACACCATAGCCCGGCCATTCACGTCAGTACTACACTCATCAGAAATAACAATAACAACACATGCAGTCCAGTCCGTTATCAGGCTTTGTTATTACATTACTATGAGGTCCTTTTAGAGAGGACTATTGTTACTGAAAGAGCTCTGGGAAATAGAGGAATTATTGCTGTTGGACATTGCGTTTTTGTACTGGACACAGATCTCATTAGTAATCTCTTAAAATACAGTACCTCCCCAGGTAAAATTAATCTAGCACCAATAGGGCTCAAGACTTTCTCTCAGTCTCTTACTCTCTTATTGCTCATTTATCCTTTCCTCACTCCTCCTCTTCCTCTTCTTATTCTTTTCAGCTTTGTACCTAATTATTTTCATGGTGTATCTTTTTTTTTCTTTCTGACTTGTTCTCTTGCTCCCTATAAGAATTTTGTCATTTCTTTTCTCCTTTGGACCAGACAGGAACTCAGCCAATTAGGCTTGATTTCAACTCTAAACTCAGTTTTTACCATCTTGATGAGTGTTAGAGAATTTCTCTTTCTGAGTACAAAAACCTATTGCAGTTTTAATTGCATCTAACCCTGGTGGCATAAATCCTCTTAATTGTATTCTGTTCGAGGTCTAGCTCTGAGAGCTATATTGTGCTGCATGAATCCAAGCGCTTCGCTCGTCTGACTCACTGGTACAATATCTGTACTATTAAATTCTACTTGTAGTAGTATAGTGGCACATCTTATTGTATGTGCCTTTGAGGCTATATAAAACATCTCTGTATCAGAGACACAGTAAATGTAAGTTATATGAGAGCATGTGGAGGGAGAGTAGTTCACACAGCGGGGGCTGGCTGTTTATTCGGGATTAAAGGTGTTGGTGTGTGTTTGGTTTGAGAGTCGGGGTGGGGGCCCATGTTGTGGCATTCTCTTTGTGTTAGCTCCGGGGTTTTGATGTCTGCCGCATATCGGCTGCGTGGGAGTTACTGTCAGTGCGTTTGAAGATTCAGTCGCTCTATTTATTTATTTTTTTGTTTATATATATATTTTTGGCTTCCTTCTTGTTTTTGTTCTTGTTTTCTACACTCTTCTCTCACTTTATCTCTCTGTCTCTCACCCCACAGTGACAGAATGGTGAAGATCTGGAATCTGAGGATGGCAAAGAAGAGGTGACAATTGGTGGGCTGTAAAGATGGTCCTCTACGTTCCCTTATCTTGGGCTGCTGACGCATTGGTCACTACCAGTCTGGAGCCTCCTTGGCCTCTGAGGTCAGAGGTCGCATTCAGTTGCGGCAGACGCGAGCCCACAAGGAGGTGATCCAATGGAAGAACGTTCGTGAGAAGTTGAAGGCAATAGTGAATCTAAGGTGCCAGTTTTTTTCCGTCCATGATTTTTTTAAGGCGCCGTATTGGTATTTTCGACTTCACACCAAATGATGAGCGTATGTTGAGTCGTTTCATACCGCATACATTTACAGAAAGTGTCCTTCTGTGCTCTTCATTTTTTGAAGGAAAAGACAAAATCCTTGTCACATCTTTAGATGTAGCTGCTGATACTCCTTTTGTTTGTTTTTTTGTTTATTTATTATTTCATGAATGAAAAACAATCCACGATAAAGGCCTTGGGAAGCCACTTCTGAGCCAAGTGGTGGGGGGAAAACACTTTCATTTTTACCCCCTGGAGAGCCATATGTTTTTGGTCTTTTGTTGACTGAATTTCGAGACTGTCTCATAGTTAATAAGCATCCAAAACACTTTCTCTAAGGAAGAGAAATGTTGATTCTTCTTTTTTACCATCTGTTGGAGGATCATTGGAGTATAACTACTGGGTATGACTGGGTACAAATGCGACTGTTCGGAACCCAATTCTGAAACCTGTATTGTGCAATAGTATTGGCACACTCACCCACCATCATCTTCTCTCCAGAAAGTGTATTTTGGACATTCTTTGAAAATCTACTCTGGACTTCATTACAGTTTGGTGTCTTCTTACCCTTAACAAAACTTTGTACAGCTTCACAACTGTGGATCCACTTCCTCTCCTTTCACAGAACATACTCTCTCTGTGGTTTCTCCTGTGCTGTGACGTTTTTATGTTCTCTACCTCAGGTTTAAATTAGTTTTTGGGGTGTAAAACCCTCGCCGTTTGCGTTTTGGGGCCCTAGCTCACATCCGTTTCCCTGTCTCGTTATTACTCATCTGTGAATAGAGCACTCCCTGAGCTCCGCGAGCCCCATATCCACACGCTGCTGAGCAGGCAGTTTGAGAGGACGACTCCAATAAGCCCGGGCCAGCAGGGGCCCGCAGTGTGTAGTAAAACTGGCACTTTGCTCTAATGAAGGCTGCGGTGCTTAAGCAGGCAGAATGAGACTCACCAGTCAAAGGGGTTTAAAGGGGGGTTGGACCTAGTGCCCACTGAGAATCAGTGTGCTTGATAGCTTTCTTCTGATACAGCTAAGACTGGGGGTGCTCCATTTGGTGCAGCACTGGTGCAGTGATGCTGGAATTGGATTCCACAAGAGACAGATAAGCTCATCTTGATGTTTCTGCTTTGCTGGGTTGTTGATTGATTAACAAACAAAAACCACAACATGGTGCACCAACTAATGACTATGCTTGAATTATCTCTAAAGATAAAAGACTGCAACAAGATGTTAGATGTAATCTAACATTAACCTAAGGTGATTTCCGAGGCTGACCATTATTAATTAATCTTATATTTGCGCACAGTATTCAAAATATCACACGGCCTATGCTATGTACTGTAACATGCTAACTAGGGATGTAAATTATTAACTGTTAATCCACAAACAATGCTTTTATTTTAAAAAATGCATTGTTTTATTTCATATAATTTCCAAAACACAACAGTTCTTATGTGAATAAGTGGGTTTATCATTTAAGCTGAGGAACATTTTTAATTATGCGCATGAGGGTGCAATAGGCAGTTGTGCCCACTAGTTAGGTGTACTAAAATTGAAGTGCAGCTAAAAATAATGGTGTTTGAGAACACTTTTCAAGAGGACGATAGCACAACTCAAATGATGTACCATATCGAAGGCAAACATCTGCAAGCTGTCCTCCAAGAGAAAGTGTGATGGCTGGCAGTGTGAGCAAATCACACATGGGTCAGCAAAATTATAAAGAAGGACATAGTGGACAGTGACAACTAAATAGAGCTAGTGAGGTACATTGTGATAAAGCTGGCCCTGGTCAGGGCATTCATGTTCCTTTAACTTGAGGTAGTGATGAGTGGTAAATGTAACTTTTGAATTTTAGAATATGGATTTTTCATTTTGCCTTTAGTTTTTAATCATGTAATCATGAGCGTTTAGTTGTCAGCCCTTCGGTTTAAACAAGAGCAAAATCTTATACAGAGTATGTTTAATACAGTTACTTCAGATAAATGCTGATGCCTGGCCCCACTTATATATAATGCGTTTGACGCTCAGCCAATCAGATTTCAGACACGGAACTATCCATTTTCTAATTGATATTTTGATAGGTTGCACCATTGATTTTAGACTTGACTGTTAATGGTCAGTCGCCGACTAATGATGGTCAGTTATCAGTCAAAACATGTTTGCTGCACATGTACTGTTAAAAGAACATTCTGTGTTCAGCTGATTAAGCGACTGTTAGTTCTTGTGTTGCCATATAACAGGATAGTGTGAAACCCCCAAAGGTATTTGCATCCGTTTTCTTTGTGTTAGGTATTTTCCCAGCCATGAACTGATCAATTCTCAAAACAAGATAAAGAAGCACACACTGGGCTAATGAAAACATAGCCTGCCTCCTCGGGGAATGCTACCAAAATCTAAAGAATCTATTTTTATGAATATTGATTTTCCACTCTGCAAGGCGTTATGAAGATTTTTTTTTCCACAACAGAAACCAAGCAATGGCAGAACATCAAATGCTTTGGGATGCCTTTTGGGCAGTGCCCCATCTACACAGCGATTGATATTTGTGACTTCATGTGGAATTATCTTGTAGGATCCATCCCAATTACTGCACTGTTTCTTCTCCCCTGGTAAAACACCCAATAATATGCAGAAACAGAGTGATGAGAAGTAGGTCAGATACAGGGATGTTTTTTCTTTACCCTCCTGAAAAAACAGGAGTTTCACTCCTTATTAAATGAAACAGGAAGCCGCCTCCCCGGTGCTGGAGGAGCAGCATGCCTGATGGGGGTATGTGGGCGATGGCGGGGTTCATCTTGGCACAACACTAATACACGCGTGTATTTTTAGACCATCAATCATTCTCTTCCAGGGCTGTGCTCTCCTCTCAGCCCCCAGATTTACTGTCTTTTTTAATGAAACATATTTATCACCCTAATCTGCCCATCTTTTTTTTCCTGGGCGGCCCCTGGCGGCTCTATATCTGTAGTAGCAGCTGTCTGTGGGTGCTCCCGCTGTCAGACCCGAGCTCTGATTTCCAGTGCTGAGGGATGGATTTGCTCTGCTAAAAGCCCAGCAGCGTGGATGACTGCACCTCAAGTGGTGTTTAAGGATGGAAGCTGGTGTCCCACTAAAACTGCACAGATTTTTGCTCCCCTCCCCCCACGTACTCAATATGATAATACACTGAAAAAGTGATGCATTAAATTGATTTACATGATTTCCACATGAATAAAATATATTACACAATTTTGCCTTTTACTTACTTTGGGCAATAGTTGTGTTGATGTAGCGTTTTTTTATTCATGTACAAATGTGCCCATTGAAATCATGTAAATTTGATGCATTGCTTTTTTCAGTAGTTAAGCATGACTCAGAGTTTGTCATAATGCTACATTCTTAAGAATAAAGATGGTAGAAATGCTTCTGGGGAGTGATTCCACAGAAGATCACTTTTTCTTCCCAGAAGAGCCTTTCAGTGGACGGTTCTTTAAAGAAACATTTCTGTAAATGAGATGTGAGTGTGAGGAACCTTTGAAGAATCTCCACATGATGTAAAATGAAAGGTTTTTGCTAGAAATGTACATCCAAGACAAGAACCATTAAGAAATCTATAATTTTAGTTTTACAAGTTTTACAATCTATAAGTTTATTTTATAATCTAAGTTTACCATCACTATCCTGTTTCCATTCCACGATTATGTTGTTTTGTTCTTTTTCCACCAGAGAAGCTATTATGTGAAGCTGCTATCAGTCTTTCCAAGCTACTCCAAAATGGTTGATATGAAAACATAATATATAGTGTGATATGAGGCCTAAAAAGTCTCTGTGGTAAGTGCATAGTGTTGATGGTGTTCACTCTGATCTAACTAACTGTTAACTAACTGCTGCATCATCTCATACTCAGTAATGACAATGAGATCCTTTTGAAACCTTGAGAAGTAATTAAGAACATAAGAGGTATAAGAATAGCCGTCTATGTATAGTCTTGTATTGCTGTCTGGAGGCTATTATTCTAAGTAGGCACTAGGCAGTGTGAGTTCTTCCCCCTGCCAAAGCACACTCTTCAAAGCTATATATATCTAAAGTTTAAACTTTATATACAGTACTGTGCAAAATCAGAGACCTTCGTTTATTCAATTTCAAGTCAAAACAGTTATTAAGTACAAGTTATTCTTGAATTCAAGTATTTTTGAGATGATTAGATATAAACTTGGATAAGGAAAGGAGATGTCAAAGCTTTCAGAACTAGAATTAAAAAAAAAATCACAAATGTGCCAAACCTGATAGACCACCAAAACTGTCACCTTCAGATAAACAGTACTACAGTAAAGCTTTGATCTTTGAAAGAGAGGAGAAAATCTAGCTCCTTTCTTGCTTCAGATCTTAAAAATCCGCTGATATTTCTGTCCATCATTGCACTGTGAGATGACAGCTCAACGTTGTGAGTCTTAAAAGGATGTAGCTGTCAAGAAGCTTTTCATAGGAAAAGGAAATAAACAAAAGGAAGAAATTTTGAAGACAAAGAAGAAAGAAAAGAAGCTGCTGGTGTTCTCAGAACGATGGACTGACCGCTCCAGAGCCCAGACCCCAACTTCATTGAACTGAAATATGTTTTGCATTACTTGAATTGTGAGAAGTAGAAATTGCAACCAACTTCCAAGACTGAACTTTGGAGGTGTGGAAGAAGAATGGAAGCTGTTATAAAGGTGGCAAAAGGTGGACACACTAAATATAACATATATGTATTAGTTATTAAGGGTTCTGTGTAATTTTCTGATGCTGAAAACTGAATAACTTGCACTTAATGGCCTTTTTGACTGAAAATGAAATGAACAGTGGCACAGTACTGACTTTGGCACAGTACTGTAAGCTGTTTTGGACCAAATTATTCTCATTTATAGTCATGTTAATCATATTAGCCATCAAAGGGGTAGTTTGGATCACCTCTGGAACCAATCACTGGATAAAGAATAGTGTAGAATTCTTTTTAAAAATGATAAAAGTCCCTCACCAACGACTGTCTGAGGTGCTTAAGGGACTGAAACAACTCTCTTCTAAACCCTTTTCTTCATACATTTGTTTTTGTATTCAACACCAAGTTGTGCTGCCTGGCAATAGAATGAAGGAAGTGCACATTGTTAAAGTTGTTGCCAAAGGCTTTGATATATTTTTTTTCCCCATTTTCACTGATCCTCCAGTATTTCTCTTCTATTTAGTGCTATTGTCAGACCAAGCAAACAACAGCCATTTACTCTAAAGTAAATGCCCCTTCCTGCTTTAAAGCGAATCCCTTTCAGTAAGTGCCCCTCATTAGTGAGCTGAAAAAGACTAGACGTCAGTCTTTATTCATTTCATTTTAGAAATGAAAGGAATCAAAGCGTTTCTTTTCGAATAACATTATCTTTTGTAGCATTTTCGGTTTGAATGCTGATAATAGTGTGAGTGGGAAGGAAGCTTGTGAGAAGTGTTACTTTGTTTTGCTAGCACTCAAAGACTGTGAAACGGAGGGATATGACCTCATAGTGTGTGTGTCCAATACAAAGGGTGGGTTTAATGGCCTCCATTTCGCACAGATAACATCAGCCTTGGAATATAATCCAGTAAAGTGCTACTGAAAGCCCATTGGTTGACTTAAAGGCGAATGAAGGAACAGTACTTTTTGATTGACATCTGCAACCCCAAATGCTGGCTAGTCCTGGCCGTGCTAATCAGTCTGCTACGGCCTTGTCTTTTGGTGCTCAACACAAATGCAGCCCTTCCAACACACATACAGGCTTAAAAATAAAGGTGCTGGAAAGAGTTTTTGGGGCGATGCCACAGAAGCACCACTTTTCTTCAGTAAAGAACCTTTCAGTTAAAAATGTTCTTTTTTTGATTCTTTTGAACTAAAAGTGGTTCTTCTATGGACTCTTTTTGGCACCCAGTGTAGTTTTCAGTGTAACTTAATTCATTACTCTTTTATCTTTCTCCAAGCTTTCAGCTGCGCTACGGTACTTTTAACGGTTCTTTCTGTAGAATCATTGTGGCTTTCATGGTGCTCGCTTTTACGCTGTAGACCAGTAATGCATGGCATGTACATGCCGTAGGAGTTCAATAACCTGTACATAGTTGACACTGCAATCTTTTTCCGCGCTACGGGAGGAAGTCAGCACCTGCCTTGTAGGTGTTCACCGTTACCTGTGCACTAACCTGGGCTTTGCACTGCTAGTGCTGCTGCTTTGTCCAACGTAATACTAAAGGTGGGCCGGAATTTGCTCTGCCCTCTTTGCCTTACGCTCCAACTCTCTCTGTCTTTAAACCTGAGCTGCAGGTCGCCTTACGCCAATCCTCAGCTTTCTACACGGACTCTCTCCTCAGCATATCATCACTGTCGTAAGAAAACCTCATATCTCTGAAACAATGACTTCATAGGACAAGGAAAGATGTTCTTAACATCTTAAGAATGTCTAACTTAAATTACCTTAATATATGTTTTTTTTTTTTGTTTGTTTTTTTTTTACTTAAAAATAGTTTGCTTTTCAAAATTTCCAATAGTTGTCATTTTCAAATGAAAACAATAAACAGAAAAACTTTCAAAGTTTTCTTATGACAGCAATGATATGCAACATTATATCGGAGAACGTGGAAGCCGCACTGCCTCTTTAAAACCCAGCGATGGCTCTGACAAAGCCGTTGGCCTCTGCTTTGGATGTGTCTGTCAATCATTTTTAATAGGGTTAGGTTAAAGTTTAATGGGTTTTGAAAGATTTGTGATTGATATGTGCAAACATCTGCCATGACTTATGTTTCTATTGATTATGCTTTGTAATAAGTACATTGTAAATGTCCTTAGTGAGTGCTATCGTAGTGCATAAATAAGTGTGGGATTTTACAGTTATATGGCAACCCTATTAATCTAATCAATAGATACATAAGCTGGCAGAGGCTCAAACAAATAAATTATCATTAATCAGTTGCTGACCAGAGTTCAGCTGGTGGATTTTGTGCCTGGTGTAGCTGATGGATATCTCAGACAGCGGGTGAAGGCACGTGCAGAGAGACTATTATCATGCCGGGGCGGAACGACAGGGTCAAAGGTGCCTTTTTTATTGCACAGACTCCTCCCGAGGAATGTAAATGTTTCTACAGTTTTATCTGTTTTTCTTACACGTGCATGTGACCAAACTTGGTGTAAAATACTTGACTGTAAATAATGTAATAAAGTTTTATTTAATGATCAGCATTTCTTCAGCAAAAATAAATAAATACATTTAAAAAATGTTTGGACTTAATATTTTCTTATGGGTACTCCTGCCTGACTGAAGTGAAAATAGTCATATTTGCTGACGTAATTTAATAAGTCCACTAGTTTTAGTTAAACACTGCCTTACTGGCTGATACGATTGTCTGTTTTAACACAATTCATGAACTCAAACTTCACAAAGTCTTAAATAATATGAATTTTGTGGCACAGGGGGGCGATGCTTTGTTATTTTGCACATCAGAGGTGTTTGTTCATACGATACAAAATAAATATTTGAATTTGAAGCCACAGGATGTTGTGTGCTACAGTGATTTTATCAAGTGTTTTTAAAAACCCCCCGTTAACTGATAAAATCACTGTAATGCATGGCCTCATGTGGTTTATTGTGGACAACATAAAAAACAGTTTTCAAATAAATAATTTGTTACGTAACAACTATGCTAATTTCCACTAGCACCTTTTTGAAATTTCTAGTCTTATTTAACACCAAGCTACACCAAACAGTGTTGTACCTTCTTCCCTACATAGTGTAGGAATCAAAATACTGGCTCCCACACCCAAACAGTGCAAAATATATCTAACAAATAGTAACTTGGCATTCAGGCATCTGTGCACAATTCTGTACTGGATAGTGCACTATTTTGATGTAGAAGCCATCTATAGAAGTTGTCTAGGAGTGAGCCTGGGTTTGATGCTGCTAAACAGAACCAGGTTTTTACTTTGTCAGTGCACTTTGTGATTGGCACAGTAATACAGAATTAAGTTCTTGTGAGGTGATTTTAAATCAGATTTTAGGACCGGAACTGTCAGTTTGATATGAAGCTACTAAATAATGGTGATTAACCAGCAGGAATTTTGCAAATACCGATACTTCAGCCAAAATATGGGTCAAGCCCCAGTTGTTACATTGTGGAACATGTCAATCTAATCACATTTTTATTCTGTTCACTGTGCCCAGATCACTGTCCTGTACCTGAAGGTGAATTTCACGCTTCAGCTATGTCTCATTCCATAGTCTGTGATTCTCTTTTAGTGATATTTCACACAATATCAGTGGTTTTCTGTCATTTTGCAGTGTTTTATGAAAGAAGAAGCCGTTTATTGACCCCAGCAGGATTCTTAAATGTCAAAATCAGCCATTCACAACATTGCTAATTTGAAAATGTACAGACAAAATGTTTTTCACCACTTTTTTTTGTTTTTCCTCGCTCTTAGGGAGTTCGATATTTGCATGCTTGATTGTAATGAGCAGTTCAAATTGGTCCCCTCTAATTGCCATTGATTGGCTTTTTTCCTGTTCCGTTTGCAAGACGCCTTTGAAAATGCCAAAAGCTCCGGCTCCTACTCACTAAAGCAGCTCCACATAATGAGAAAGCACAGATTAAAAAGCACAAACACATTTTAAAGAGACAACATACTATATTTTCTTTGTATTTTATAATTTTTTTCCTTTTTAAACTTGTGTTGGTTTGTAGACCAAGAACAGTTATTTTGTACATGACCATTTTCTATTGTGTGTTTATACCTTAGAATTAGGGGTGAGTAATATGATGACTTTTATCATTATCATGGTAATTTACATCACAATATGTTTTTCTGAGCATATCGTGTACTGACCATTTGCATATTTTATTATAATTAGCAGGCCCAGATAACCAAGCTAAAGACCCCTGGGCACAAATATTTGGTGAGACCCTGTTGTTGTTTTTACAACATTGCAGCAAGTTACATGAGGGCTCTGCAGCACCATGATGGCAGTATACCAACCAAAGTGTTGGGCACGTCACTGCTATAAGCACATATTTTTTTCCAATTGAGACAATAGCTAGATTGCACACACATTAACAAGAGCACAGGTTAACACTAAACTGCTGTCCTGATATTTCAGGGAAGGATCGTGGCTTTGCGAGGCCTCTGGATACAAGAGGCCCTTGGATACAAGAGGCCCTCTGCCCCCCTGCACTCCAGTAGTAATGCATAATTAACAAAAAAAAAATAGAACAAGACCCTTTAAAGTGACATTAAAGGGGTGGTTCACTTTTTTAACCTTTCTAACTCCTTGAGACCACTGGTGGTTCCAAAACATTACCCTATAAATCATGCATCCACTCTTCACAGACAAGATTTAATAAATTAAAATCAGGCAGCTGTAATGCACATAATAAAGACTGGGAAAAAACTGCAAACTTGAAAACTCTAAGCCATCAAGCATCCTAAGCTAAAGCATACTGCCACAGCAGCTGAGGAAAATGTTTTTTTCCATTTATATCTTACCTCTGATGACTTTATGTACAGAAATAGACAGTTTGCAGAGCAAAGAAGATTGAACTTTTTTCTTTACCTTGGGTGACATCATTTGAATAGCTGGAGCTTCAAATACAAAGTACATTCAAAGGAACACTGCTAAAAAACACAAAAGCTTGACCGAGGTAATGGTAGATAACTGAACGGCGAATATCCACTCATAACGTTTGTGTGGTTTTGTGTACCAAAAACAGTC